TCATGGTGTTTCCCCCCTTCCCACTGTCTGTTGTCATCAGCAGAGGGGGGCGGGGTCTTCTCCCCATCTACCCCAGAATCGGTGCTGTCTTCCTCCTCGTCATCCTTCTGCCTTCCATTTTGCTGCCTTTCAGCTAGCATGCTCTGGAGCTTCATGATCTCTCGATCATGTTGGAGTTCTCTCTGATAGAGGATCAGGGCTAACTTAGCTAAGTGAACCTGGATTGGTTTTGTACCATCCGGGTTTTCTATTTGATCAATTACAGCTTCTAGCTCGTCGCTACGCTGTTCTTCAGTGAAATCCCTAGAAGGGTAGTCGGGTTCTCGAGCAACCGCAACCAGTTTGGACAATATTTGTCCAGAAAGTAGGCCAGGTTCATAGTCGTGGGCCGCAGCGCCACCTGGTTGCTGGGAGTTGGTCAGGTCACTACTCTGATGCTCCATTTTAACAACCGAACCAAAATAGCCTAGTAGAGCTTCTGCAGATAGCTCAAACTGCACCTTTTGGGCAGCAAACTGCTAGCTTTGTAGCAGAAAAACACTAAATTAACCTTTGTGCGCACAGGTTTTAGCGTTTTAAGATTGCACGGAATGCCGTGACTGACGCTTAAAATACTATTCCTTTCAGTATTTTAGCAAAAGCTGGTGCGTTGCCGTAGCAACGTCTTACAACACTTGTGGTGTTAAATATGCTAGTTATTCCTTCAGAATATTAGCAAACAGGGTGTTATCAGTCTTTGAGTGAAGGTTTCAGTTAGTTATAATAGCCACTGTGAGTTAAAGTCGCTAAATTAGCAGTTAATTTTTTTTTTTGCCTAAAAGGGTTAGTCAGAATTACTTACACACTGCACCTTTAATGAGGAACTGAATTTTAACCTAAAAGGTTAGCCAGAATTAATTACACGTTGCACCTTTAAGGAAAAACTGAATTTTAACCTAAAAGGTTAGCCAGAATTAATTACACGATGCACCTTTAAGGAAAAACTGAATTTTAACCTAAAAGGTTAGCCAGAATTAATTACACGATGCACCTTTAAGGAAAAACTGAATTTTAACCTAAAAGGTCAACCAGAATTAATTTACACGTTGCACCTTTAAAGAAGCACTGAGTTACTGGTGAGAGTTCGATGCAGCTTCCTGCTCAGCGAAATCAGCACCACTCTGTTGCTGGTTCAAGGCTGAACAACTGATTATTTTTAATTCAAGCTCTTTGGATTTATTTGTTTGTGCCAGATAGAAAGTCTCTGTGTATCCAAGCCTCACACGGCTGCACCAATTAAATGTTGGGGTTATTAGGAGCGAACAATTAGTAAGCTTCAACTTACTTTTGGATTCTTCAATAAATTCTGTAAATATGGGAATATTTACTGATTTATTAATTAATTAAGATATTCTTAGATATACGGGGCACCATTCCCCTTTTACCGGGGAAAAATTGAATCCAAAACTCTTATCAGTCTTTCTTGAAGTTCGTAGAATCCTTGGAGCAGAGACTTCTCTTCGACACAACAAAGCTACTGGAGACGAAAATCTGAATTTTATAACGTTTAATTAACAATTTGTCAAATGAATAAACAGTGGCATAAATGAATAATAACCATGTGATATAATAAAATGATGTATATTCAAAATAATGTTCAAGGTGTTTGTGTGGTGTGTGTGAGTGAGTGTGTGTGTGTGTGTGAGATGAATGGGTCTTTGTTTCCCCAGAGTAGGTGGGGGGAGTGAGCTGTGAGTGTGTGTGGGGCTCTTCCCCTCCCCTCGCATTCAACAGGAGACCTGGATGTGTAAAGTTTTCTACTTTCCCGAACACTTAGTGGCTTAGAATCACAGTAAAACTTAACTCAAACACTTCAAAAGTTAACAAACAACAAAAGGTCACTTGTAAATTATTTAATCTAAAAGGAGTCGGCAGCCTGGCCAGAGCTGACGACTAAAAGCGATGATCAATAAGCAGTTTATTCTTTCAAAATGACCCGAAGGACGAATTGGGAGCGAAAGAGGAAAACACGAAGCTACTTTTTAAGCAATAGCGCGGTTTTATTGCTTATTCTGGACTATAGAGGAAACGGGAGAAGAAAAGGAGAGAAAAAAAAAAGAGTTTTCTGATCACCAGATGAGCGAGGCGTCCCCCGCTGTTATGACTTGACGGTTCTCCGTTTTTCTCCGCAGTTTTCAGCGTCATCCGTCGGTTTGATGCTTTCTCCGTTGTTTGGCTCCACGTGTGTTTCTCCACGGCTGGACACAAAGAGGACAAAGTTTCTTTTGTGCTGAGTTTGACAACTTACAGCGTCTCTGAGAACTGAATGGAGCTCCGCTCGTTCCCAGTCAGGTCCCGATGGAGTTGAGTGTAGTTTCCAGCGGTTGCGTGGGCTCAACTTGGCACTTAGAGCTTCCGCGTGCTCAAGTTGACGGAGCGTTCGACAAGCGTGTCCTTACCGCCAGGTATCCTGGGCAAAAGAACGAGGTTTCTTTGTCTCTGCTGAAGATTTATGGTCTTAGTTCGCGGGAAAAGCTCCACGGCTTCCCGCACATGCGCAGAACGTGTTTCTGGTACTAGGCGGTAACATCACCCAATGCTTCCGTGTGCAAAGCATCATGGGAAATGAAGTTTCTTGGCGCTGATGTGATTATTTGCTTTTCAGAGCAATTTAAGCACAGTCATTTTGGAGAAAATCACTGCATAGTAATTTCCTCATGAGGTCAGACCCTCAACAATGATGATGATGAAGATGACGATGATGAGGGTTATGATGATAATGAAAAAGTTGTAAATAATGAAGCTGCTGCTGATGATGGTGGTGATGAAGAAGATGAGGATTAGGATGATGATGGTGATGATGAAGACAATGATGATGATGATAATGAGGCACCAGAACTGAAAGAAATCTGAAGTTGTTGAAGTGATTCTGACTAATGAAGATGTGTCCTGCTAGAGCTCCAGTGGTGATATATTTATATTTATAGTTGATAAATCAGTTGATTTGTAGTCAAAACCCATTACTGATAAATAAAACTGAACAGTGGCCTATTATTCAGTCAGGAGCACAAAACAGCTTCAGTGCTGGATAAAAAACACGAGAACATTTAGAAATCCTCAAAATTGTTTTGTCAGGGAGAAATAAGTCTGAATAAGTAGAAGCACAGAGATGTAAAGTCATATAAAATATATTTGTTTAGTTTGCGGATTTGTTGGTTTACATATTATTCTTTTGGTTTACTTGCTTTTAATTTTGTCTTATAATGTAAACAATAATACAAATGAAACAAACTTTATTAGTCTCAAAACCTATACTAAAATGGTTTACATTAGGCAGAATATTTATAATAATCCCTAAAACCCATTTCATCTTTAATACTTATTATAAAAAGAAGATATTTTACATGCAACATGTGTAAAAGAGTTTAAAAGGTTAAAATAAATGTATTTTTTTAAAAGCTTTTAATAGCTGCAAGCATCACTTAAGGGGCAAAACTTTTCACATATCACCCCACTGCATTTTTTAATTGATCTTTTTCATATATTTTTCTAAATAACTGTTTGCATCAAAAGGCATAAACAAATTCCCTGTAGCTGCATAACTGCTATTGTGCATCTCTTTGCCAATTGAACAGTTCAATTCAACTGTTTGTTGCATTCTAGACGTTTACCACTAGGTGTCGCTTGATCCTTGTTTAATCCTTGGTGATGTTTTTTCTTTACAGTAAACTGGTGGTGATGAGATCAGGAACAGATTCACAAACCAGGAATCTCCACAGAGAGTTTTTAGTGTAAATATTGACTCTGTAAACACAGCAAGCAGCTGTCAGCTCTGATATTTATTTCTGTGTGAGTGGAAGCAAAAAGAGATTAGAGGAAAGAATAACAGGACCAGATTATTCCTGAGTCCAGAACGATGCATGAACATCATTTACAGCTAAACCAGGAATGTGTGGAGTGTAGGCTCTGAAAATACTCTAACGAAATGTAATTTGAATATGGAAAACTCAGGAAGAAATTCCTCGAAGAGAAAGGAAATATAAATAAAAGGAGGAAATGTGTTTGTAGGAAACAATTCAGAGGAACTGAGGAGAAGGAGGTTAGGGAGGAGGGAGATGAAGCGAGGGAAGAGGATGAGGCCGGGGACACACTGGCCGCGGAAGCGCCGCGAAAATGGGACCGCCTTCATTCGGCGCCCTTGTTAAGCTATTCTATAGACCACATGAGCCGCCGAAGCGCCGCGAATCGCCTCGCGCCGGCGCGCACCGGCGCTCCAGCCCGCGCCGTGCAGCGATCATTTCGGCGTTGGCTCTATTTTTTTCGCGAGCCGCGGGTGAATCGCGTCAATTCTGGCAGGAAGTCAAACGTAGACATAAGAGGCAGGCCGGTAAAGTTAACAAAATAAAGCATTTCAAAATAAAATTCCGCAATAGTCAAATGTGTTCGTAAACAGACACTGCAGAAAAACCACACGAACATGCACACACACACATCGAACTTGTGTGCGTGTGTGACCACGTGAAGGGGGGAGTGGTTTTGGGTGTCTTTTCACCGGAGCAAACAGGACAGAGAGGCAGAAAGTCTGAGGCAAGCAGTTAGGATGGATGACTTTAAATAATTATGGAAGTTGAGAAACACAAGGAGCTGTACGACCCCGAAAAACATGATTGTTTACGTACCCATGTCGGAAGAAACTGCTAGGATACAGCTGCAGAATTGGAGCGGGTTCCAAGAGATTCAACTGGCAGAAACAACTCATACCATAGGTTCACACACGCGCGCGCGCGCGCACAAACACTCAAGCGTAGGAAAAGAGCTGAGAAAAGGCAGAGAGGAAATGGAGGACACCAAGTGTTTAAAAGAAAAACTACAGCTGAGCCGAGGCGCCCCTCGACTGGGGCGCGTCTGATCTGAACTGAGGAGCGGCGAGCAGCGGCCGAATTACGTGAGCGATTTGCTTCTCGGCGCTTCGCGGCGCTTCCGCGGCCGGTGTGTCCCCGGCGTGAAGCGGAGGGAGGAAGAGGAGGAGTAAATCAGTGTTGGAGACTCAGACGCGGAAGAAGAAGAAAACAGCGAAAGGAAGCAAAACTCGGACCGAGAGCCCCCTCCGGCGGACCGGACACTTGATGATTTAGCTCCAGCTCCACCGGCTGTCCTCGGCTGCTTCAACCGCTGGGTCGCATGTCTGTCTCCGGGTCGGGCCCCGCTGCGGACAGGCTCGGTTCGCAACGATTCTGGATCGATATGTCATCTTTTATTCATCCTGCCTCCTGAAGGGGGGCTCCGGGAACCTTCCTCTGAGCAGCACCGCTGGGTGGCACCGCTGGCTCGGGGCGGAGAGAAGACCGAACCGGACGAACCCGTATTCATTGGCTCTGCTGGCTTGTATGTGTTATTGTTTTACGAGTTTAATAATTAGCTAGCTGGTTCGGCGGGGTTCCCTCGGAAGTGGACCGAGCTCGGCGCCTTCTCTGCCGGGGAGCACTGCTGGCTCCAGCCGGAAGAAGGAGCCTCCATCGTGTGCAAACCATCGGTGCAAACGGACTCCGAGTCACGGTAAATCTGGTCCAGTTGGTCTCACGCAGCTGGGCTCTGGTACCACGCTGGGGATTTTTGGTCCTACATAGACAGCTGGGAAAGAAGGGAAAGTACAAGTCTGCTGCCGAGGACAACGCTCCTCCGCCGGGCTGCGCCGCCGTGTTCGGCCCGGTGGGATGCCTCTCTCCCGGAGGGGGCTGTTTGCTAACAGGCTAGGTCATCCCACCCCCAAACCCGGACCCGGGTGTTTCTGGTGCCGTTCGGAAGGTTGTGGAAGAGCTCGAGTTTGAAGAGCATGGCCGAGGCGGGTCAGTCTAGTCCGGCGGATCTGGATCCGGATCCGGACTGCCGTCCAGCGACCCCTCTGACCGTGAAGAAGAGGGCGCAGCAGCCTCCGAGTCCCCGGCCCCGGTACCAGAGCTCCGCTCCGGGTCACAGCTTCAAGAGGGTGACCCTGACCAAACCGACCTTCTGTCACAGCTGCAGCGACTTCATCTGGGGTCTCATCGGTTACCTGTGTGAAGGTAAGGAAAGAAAGGGTACTGGTCCATTTCCAGTGGTTAGACTGGTAGGAAACCACAGTTCTGACCAAGAGGCGATCCCCCAGACCTACTGGGGTGAGCTTCAGGCTGGAACTTCGGCTGAAGGAAGATGTTGTTCCAGATGTGCATCAATCAAAACAAACACCTGAAGAAACTAAACATGGATTCCTCACTTCCCATCAATTTCCCCTTCCACGTTCCCTTCCCATTTCCTCTCTACTTTTCCTCGTTCCCCTCTAATTTCCTTTCATGTTTTCTTGATTTCTCATTTTTTCTTGGAGACACAACTTTATCCTGAATTAAACATCACACACACACACACACACACACACACACACACACACACACACACACACACACACACACACACACACCAGTCTGCCCAGTAACATCATGTGTTGGTTGGGCTTGTGTTTGTGTGCCTGTGAGAGATTTTCTTTCCAAGAGGTGTAAACTGTCTGCTTCAGAGCTGCGGTCAAGTCGTAATGTACTTCCTCCAGTTGTCATGGCAACAGGAGACTGGCAGGGATGCTGTGAGTTGAATATATGTGTGAGATCATCATCGTCATCACCAATTAGCAGTAGAGGCAGCAAACTGGATCCACGCTGTCCTGAAAAGGCTTCATTATGTAACATCTCTTCTTTAAGCCCTGACTTAGATAAACTCAAAGCTGTGATGTCATCAAGGAGCTTCAGCTGTGGTCCAATTATAGGACCTCCCTCCTCAGGCCGCTGTTCTCTGAACCAATCAAGTTTGAATAGGAGAAGGAAGCTTCCACTATGTTTCTCTGTCTTCCTGAAATGATTTCAGAGGTCTGATGAATGTTCTGATGGTGATGTATGTAGGTTCTGATAAAGATGTGGTTCTGATGGTGATGAAATGGGCCATTCCCATCTGTACCGGGTCGGCCCGGGCCGGGTAGCGTAGGTTGTTTACATATCTGGGTGGCCTGGTATTTTTCCGGGCCAACCAAGGCTCATTCTCAGCCCTCTTCTCGAGGGGGTCTGCTTCAGGCCGACCAGGGCCAACACACCCACTGCTGACAGCAAATCCACACCTTCCATTAGAGCAAGCCTCTGATTGGTGGGTAGAATCAGCCCACATGGGCTTAAGGCAAGGATGTGTGGAATCAACCGGGCCAGGCTGGGGCCAACTGGGGCTACCCGGCCCGGGCCAACCCGGTACAGATGGGAATGGCCCATAAGTTCTGATGGAATAAATGTTCTGATGGAGATGCATGTAGCTTCTGATGGAGGTGTGGTTCTGATGGTGATGTAAGTTCTGATGGAGGTGTGGTTCTGATGGTGATGTAAGTTCTGATGGAGGTGTGGTTCTGATGGTGATGTAAGTTCTGATGGACGTGTGGTTCTGATGGTGATGTATGTAGCTTCTGATGGAGGTGTGGTTCTGATGGTGATGTAAGTTCTGATGGACGTGTGGTTCTGATGGTGATGTAAGTTCTGATGGACGTGTGGTTCTGATGGTGATGTATGTAGCTTCTGATGGAGGTGTGGTTCTGATGGTGATGTAAGTTCTGATGGAGGTGTGGTTCTGATGGTGATGTAAGTTCTGATGGTTGTGTAGGTTTTGATGGAGATGTATGTTCTGAGTGGACCGGTTCTGGCTGCTGGTTTCCATTCTGAACCAAGTTGTAGAAATGTGAACTTGGTAATGTTTTGAGTATTTTTGGTTAAATCAGATGATCTCTGTGTGAATAGTTTACTTTTCTCTGAGGAGAACGTTTGTTGTGATCAGTGCTGAAGAACCTAACAGCACATCAGCAGGTGATGTCCTAAATTTTAGAATTATCACGTTTTTAAGGGATGCTTGGTGGTGCTGCTTATAACCCTGCTGCCTCACATTGAGAAGGTTGCAGGTTTGAATCCCTGCTGGGGCCAGGGATTCTCCCCGTGCATGTGTACACATGCTTCCAGAAACCAGAGAAAACCGGGTTTCTCTGGTTCCCTTCCACACACCAAAACATGCATGTAATGCTGACTGATGACTAAATGTTTCCTGTAGGTATGAATGTGTGTGACTGGTTGTTAGTATCTATGTGTCCCTGTGATGGACTGGAGACTTGTCCAGCGTGCCCTCCGCCTCTCACCAGTCCATTGCTGGGAATAAGCGCCGACTCATCGCGACCCTACAGGGGATTAAGCGGTTCAGAAAGTGAACCTGTTTTCTGTGCTGGTTTCCATGGTAACGTCTCTCTGAAACCCAAACAACCACATTTCTATTTATATCCTGCAGTTTGCATACGAGATAAAACTTGTTATCTTTTAAACGAACATTCAAATTGAACCCATTACACACTGAGCCAACTTGAAGAACCCGGTCAGAACCAAGAGGAGGAGGATGATGAAGGTGAAGGACTCAGAACCTCTTCGCCATTTAAAGGAGCTTGTTTCTCATTCATTTAATACGTTTACCTACAGAAATATAAAAAAACATTTTGGTGTCCAGAACCAGTTGTGTCCTTGAACACACCGACTTGCTCAGTCTTTTTTAAATTCTGCCAACTTGATGACAGCCATCCATCTGGCGTTCCTCCGGTTTAAATGAAAGTTGTAATTTGATTTTTATCAGCAGGAAATGAGGACTTCTGATCATCAGAACAGGAGCCGCTGAGTGAAAGAGTTTCTCAGCTCCGTCTGTAGAATGACACGTTGAGGTGTTGGAGTAAAACCTAAAGTGACTGAATCAGTTCAACTGCAGAAAAAGAACAGGGTTCAGGGAGATGCACTCAGTAGCTCTTTGTCCTGCAAACCATCTGAAAGTCTATCGGCCTCAGGCTCAGCGCTCCGCCTGCAGCTGCGAGCAAAAACGGAGCGGTTGCAGTCAGAAACCTCATGTGCTCAAGATGTGTTTGAGTTCCTGGACAGGAAAAACCTGACGTAATTGAGATTGAGCGGGTGTGTGTGCGTGTGTGTGTGTGTGTGTGTGTGTGGGTGTGGGTGTGGGTGTGAAGCTGTCCGGAGGCGAGCAGGAAGCAGCTTCACACACACACCACGAGCATCTTCATCTCTCTGTCACACAAAAACACCCAAACTGCTCAGGACTCACACATCACCGCCTCACGAAGAGTCTGGCTTTATTAGTCGGCACGTTAGATGCAGATTTGTGTTTTTCTCTGTAGTTTATAAAATGTTTCAGTAGATTGTTTACATTAATTTGCTGGTTTTTGGCACAAAAAATAAAGGAAGTTTCATTTTCAGTGATAAAGAAAAGATGCAGCATCGAAGTCTCGTCTTCCTCCAGGTTTCAGACCCGTCTGCATTCCTGCTGGGAGTTGCACCTGCACCCTGACAGTGTTAGTGCCTTGCTCAAAGCTTTCTGTCCTCTCTTCTCCTCCCCAGTGTGTAACTTCATGTGTCATGAGAAGTGTCTGAAGACACTGAAGACGGTTTGTACCTGCATGTCTCCATCTCAGGTCCAGGTGAGTCAGAACCTCGGACCCCACTGGTTCCCAGTTAACAGACAATCACACGGTTGTTGTCACATTAACGCAGAACCTCAGCTCCACTCCTCAAATGGTTGGGATGAGGGAAGGTCAGAGGTCAGACACATCTGTTTCTTCTAACTCCAGACTAAAATAAACCCAGCTGATGCTGGAACCTCTTGGAACCGACCAATAAAGCAACTTTGGATCTTTTAATGTGTTATATATATATTTTTTTAGCATTTTCATTGTTTCCATTTAAAATTTGACCTTTACTTATTTCCACTCTTATGAGGACTCTCATCTCTGCAGCTAAATCCCAGTTTAACAGGACAACTCATTTTTTTAATTACTTTTTTCAAGTTTTAAACAGAAAGTTGTCCGGCTAATCTTTTTTCTTGGGAATTGAGATTCTGGAGCGGGAATGTCCGATCTTGGAGAGAGCACACACACTGAAGAACGCTGTATCAGACGGAAATGCAGGCTGACCTGGGATCAGAAAATGATCTCATCTGTTCTTCTATAGATGCGTGAATCTCATTCCTTCTTCATAACTAATCATTTCTGATTTTTGACCTTTCTTCTATTTTCACTGCTGGAACCTTTGATCCTCTCTTTTTAGTTCCTGTTCCCTCTAGTCCTAAAATTCCAACTAAAGCAGGCACGGGTGTCTGAGCTTCAGTGAAAACATTTATTAGTGATAATATTTCAATGATACAACAAAAAACAGAAAAATGAAAGGAGAAATTAAATATTCTATTCATTTTGCAATACAATTGCACAGTGGGATTGTCTGTGGGGCCAGAGAAGTTGTGTTTTACGGCAGCCAGCTTCAGCTACAGACTGCAAACGTTTTATTCACAGGAAGCGGTGTTTATTGTTAAAGGAGCCTCTGGAGGAATAACTCATAACTAGAGTAACTCAGGGTTCGCACTGAGTTATGTTAATGTGTTGTGATGTCACACTTTTACGTGAACATATAATTAATAGACGGTGAAATACGTCACAGCCCTCGGCAAGATTCCATTTCACTCATAACCCAGCACCAAAGTTAGACTCATCTGCATCAAAACATCTGTTTACGAACAACTGGTGACCTTGAGGGCATTCCATTTTCTAGTAGAAGATTTTAGCCTCATTAATTGACTTTACGGCTGTAAACAAGGAGAAGTTACAGCAACAGGAAATGGGATGAAAGCTTTTAATGAGGGGAATCGCTGGTAAGCACCGCAGGGAGCAGGATTAGACCCCGGAACCTTCTGGAAACCAAACGAGAACAACCGAATAATACCTGGAAACTTTATTGAAGCACCCGTTATCGTTGTTTAGTTGATAACAGTTAGAAATCAGACCGATGGAACAAACAAGATCTAAAAATTATGTTTAGTTTTATACCAACTTAAAAAACAGCTGATTTACATGAAAACAATGAAGAGAGTGTTCAATCAGCAGGAAGTTCAGGGTTTTATTTTGGTTTACCTGTTCTTGTGTGTTTGTTTCCTTGTTTGCCTGTGTTTATTCACTTCTGTTTGTTTATCTGTGTTCACCTGTTTGTTTACCCGTGTTCACGTCTGTTTGTTTACTTTTGTTCACGTCTGTTTGTTTACCTGTGTTCACCTGTGTTTGTTCACTTCTGTTTGTTCACCTGTGCTTGTTTATCTGTGTTCACCTGTGTTTGTTCACTTCTGTTTGTTCACCTGTGCTTGTTTATCTGTGTTCACCTGTGCTTGTTAATCTGTGTTCGCCTGTGCTTGTTTATCTGTGCTCACCTGTTGTTTACCTGTGTTCATGTCTGTTTGTTTACCTTTGTTCACATCTGTTTGTTTATCTGTGTTCACTTGTGTTTGTTCACTTCTGTTTGTTTACCTGTGTTCACCTGTGTTTGTTCACTTGTTTGTTTACCTGTGTTCACGTGTGTTTATTTACTTGTTTGTTTACCTGTGTTCACCTGTGTTTGTTCACTTGTTTGTTTACCTGTGTTCACGTGTGTTTATTTACTTGTTTGTTTACCTGTGTTCACGTGTGTTTATTTACTTGTTTGTTTACCTGTGTTCACGTGTGTTTATTTACTTGTTTGTTTACCTGTGTTCACTTGTGTTTATTTACTTGTTTGTTTACCTGTGTTCACTTGTGTTTATTTACTTGTTTGTTTACCTGTGTTCACGTGTGTTCATTTACTTGTTTGTTTACCTGTGTTCACTTGTGTTTATTTACTTGTTTGTTTACCTGTGTTCACGTGTGTTTATTTACTTGTTTGTTTACCTGTGTTCACTTGTGTTTATTTACTTGTTTGTTTACCTGTGTTCACCTGTGCTTCACCATTTCTGCCTCCTCCAGGTTCCTGTGTCTCACTGCTTTGGTCTGGCAGGTCAGAAGAAACGGTTCTGCTGCGTCTGCAGGAAACAGACGGAGGGAAGCACAGCGCTGCGGTGCGAAGGTGAGACCAAAACCAGCCTTACCAGTTTAACCAGGCAGGTGGTCTGTGGTTCGAGTTCAGCATGCTGAGCAGCTCTGAACCAGGAGTGATGGGACACACGGAGGGTCTGAAAAGCTGGCTCAGATCCAGTAGTTCTATTATTTATGATTCTTTAAAGACAAACATTGCTGTAATGGATCTAAAAGTGGACTTCATTAGCATGTTCTGGTACCAGCCCAGGAGTAGACTTGGGTCAGAAACCAGCCTAAAAGGAAACCTCCCTCAGGTTCTTGGAAAGTCTGTAAAACTGTCGAAGCAGAACAAGTCTAAAGGATTACAGAAGGGGAGTGTTGGCCTGGACCAGACCAGTGGGAACTGGGTCCAGTCTCTTTAACTGGGTTTGTGTTTCAGTGTGTGAGCTCCACGTCCACTCTGACTGTGCGGCCTTCACCTGTGCTGACTGTCGCAGCTGTCACCTGGATGGGAATCAGCAACAGGTGAGTAAAGCCCTGTTTGGTCCTGATTGGACCTGCAGCTGTTTTCATTCAGTCCTGATCAAAGATCATCTGATCTACCAGATTGTGTACCTAGTTCTTCTTATTCTGTATCCTCTCACCTGTAATGTTCAGTCTGACAGTAAACACAGCGGTTAGTTCACAGAACACCTGGGCTGCCTGACTGTAGGTGGCGCTCTGCAGGAACTCAGCCTTTTGTGTTCTGTAATTCAAAAAGTAGGGGTCGTGACCCCACAGTAGGTCCTAGGTCTCTGGGAGGATCTAATGCTGGCAGTCTCTGGTTTAACTCTTGAAACATCTGAAAACCAGTCGGTCAAAACTAATAAAAGAGATCAGGTTATTGACTGATGACATCACTCTTTGTTCAGCCAGTCAGCTTTAATCAGTCCAAACAGCCACTGCAATTCTAACCATTCACCTGAGAAGCTCGGACTGGAAACCAACTAAGCAACAGACAGGACACCATCACAGACTGGGCCAGAGAGCTGACAGGAAACAGCCATCATCGCTATGATCTATTATTCTCTTCCACCATGTAGATTTAGTGAAGAAAGTGACTTCAGTCAAATGATATTTATCATGTCATCTTGTCTGTTCTGATAAAACAGATAAAATATTTAATCAAACAAACTTTGTTTTAAGCAAGAATAAGTTGGGTTCTGTAGTTTACAGGGTGTACGTGAACGCGCCATAGTGCTGCTGGTTTTCAGTTGCTTTGATGCAAAGAAAAAACTTTGTTAAAAATCTGAAATATTTAAAATACAGATTACACTGGATGTGTGACAGAAAATAGTTCAGATTAACATTTTTTTATTATAATTGTTTTGTTTATTTTATGTTTTTTATTTTTGCTTTCATTTATTCATCTTTACACTTTTTATTTATATTTATATTTTTGCTTCTGGTTGAGAGAGAAACATAAATAAATTAGTCAGAGTTTAATGAAATCCCATCTAAATAACGCTGATGCAACACAAAGGTTTATTTCCTGTCTTACTGAGCCCCCCCCCCCCCCCGTACAGGAGGAGACTAACTGGTCTTTTGGTGTTTCTCCTGCAGGACACGTTCCATCACCACTGGAGGGAGGGGAACCTGTCATCGGCAGCCAGATGTGAAGTCTGTCGCCGTTCGTGTGGATCGTCTGACGTTCTGTCTGGGATGAGGTGCGAGTGGTGCGGAATCACGGTGAGAATCCTCTCACATCTGCACGTGATCAGCAGAGTTCATGAAGAGACCAGATCGGGCTTCTTCTGGGTCCGATAGTTTAGTTCCCCGAGACTAGAGCTGGTTCAGGTGATCTGATGTTCTCACCGGGATCAAGTCTGTGACACTAACAGCTCAGCAGGGAGGGGAGTTTAGGGAAGTCAGACTTCTGTAGTTTAATACTGTTAGAATTTATTCTGGATTCATTTTGATTCTGAACAATCACAAAAATAATCTTGAACTAAAACTTTCAATCACACAGACTGAACTCCGGTCAGCTTGCTGAGTTCTGTGTGACACGCGTGTTTAACGTGTCACCATGTCATTCACAGAGTCACGCGTCGTGTTACACCAGCGTGCCACCAGAGTGCATTCTGGGACGTCTGCGCTGTATGCTGCTGCATCCGGGCTGCGTTCGCCTCGACTCCAGAAACTTCAGCAAGATGCACTGTTACCGCATCACAGAGAGCTGCAGTCACGAGCCGGGTACACACACACACACACACACACACACACACACACACACACACACACACACACACACACACACGCACGCACATCTTTTTGTGACCACATCCTGAAACGAGACGCTAGTTCCATTTCCTGTCAGCTTTGCTGTGAAACTAAAACTGATGTTAAACACTGAAACTGTTTCTAACAGTCGTTGCTGAGAGGCTGAACGAGACTTAAACCAGACCACAGACATGATTCACACTCTTTGGGATTTTACACCTGAACAGAACATAAAAGAACAAATGCAAACCACCCAAAAGTTTCACCTGATCACAAACTTTGTTTTCTGCACAGCTGAGAGTTTAATGATAAAACTGATATTAGCAGCAGAACACAGGTGAGAATTTTTATACAAACAAAGGAATTTTGTTCCTAAAATAGTCTTAAATGAATATTAAAATTATTCTTGAGAAAATGAACTAATAGAAGAGGAATAAAAATGCTAAATGAAATAGTGTTTTGTGGATTTGGAGAAGGTGTTCAACCACGTCCCTCGGGCGCCCTGTGGGGGGTACTCCTCGAGTATGGGGTACCAGGCCCTTTGATACGGGCTGTTGGGTTCCTGTATGACTGGTGGCAGAACCTGGTCCACATTGCTGGCATTAAGTCAAGGTCGTTCCCAGTGAGAGTTGGACTCTGCCAAGGATGCGCTTCGTCACCGATTCTGTTCATAACTTTTATGGACAGGACTTCTAGGTGCAGCCAAGGTGTGGAGGGCATCTGTTTTGGTGGCCTGAGGATCAGGTCTCTGCTTTTTGCAGATGATGTGGTCCTGTTGGCTTCATCAGAATGTGATCTTCAGCTTTTGCTGGAGCAGTTTGCAGCCGAGTGTCAGGAATGAGGTCCTGCCCCAAGTGGAGGAGTTTAAGTATTGTTCACGAGTGAGGGAAAGATGGAGTGTGAGATCGATAGGCGGATTGGTGCTGCATCTGCAGTGATGCGGGCGTTGTACCGGTCTGTTGTGCTGAGTCAGAAGGCAAAGCACTCGATTTTCTGGTTGATCTACGTTCCTACCCTCACCTATGGTCACAAGCTTTAGGTAGTGACCAAAATAATGAGATCGCGGATGCAAGCGGCCGAAATGAGTTTTCTCCACAGGTTGTCTGGGCTCTTCCTTAGAGATAGGGTGAGAAGCTTGGTCATCTTGGAGGGGCTTGGAGTAGACTCGCTGCTCCTCCGCGTCGAGAGGAGCCAGTTGAGGTGGCTCGGGCATCTGGTCAGGATGCCTCCTGGATGCCTCCCTGGTGAGGTTTTTCCGGGTACGTCCAACTAGGAGGAGCCCCAAGGGAAGACCTAGGACACGCTAAAGGGAAAATGTCTCTTGGCTTGCCTGGGAATGCTTTAGGAATTCCCCAGAGGAGCTGGCCCAAGTAGCTGGGAAGAGAGAAGTCTGGGCTTCTAGGCTGCTGCCCCTGCGGTTCGACTCCGGATGAGCGGCTGAAAATGGATGTATGGACAGATGCAAATAGATAAACAAAAATGTTTATTGCATTATTTATAGAAACATCTTTTTTTTAAATGAAGAAAACTTTAAAGGTTGAATATGAAACACAGACACTGGCTGAACACTCTGGCGAACTCTGGTGTTTAGAGGTGGAATCGCAACAACAGGATTAATTTTCTAGCCTTTGGGATTTTGGTGCACTGCTGACACGTTCCAGCACCATGTTCAGAGACAGATCGTACAGGATAAGGACTCATTTCTATCAATAAGTTTATTTTACAACAGTATTTACCTTTAGAACATCTTCTGGGCTCAGAATCAGCTGCTAGACTTGTCAAGCCCGCCATTTTACACGGTCCCAGCCTCGCCTTGCTGAGCGGACTTTTTAACACAACGGTGTCGTGCCTGTCAAAATAAATTTTTATTATTATTTTTTTTAAATATAGCCTTTAAAGGACAAACAGTACATTCATTCTGCACACCTCTAAAGGCCCCGTGGAGGTATTTTTAATACAACTTTTTATTAAAATTTTCCATATTCTAACTTCAAGTGAACATCTAAAAATGCTAATATTAAAATAAATAAATTAGTAAAGGAAAGAAACATTTTTTAAGAACCTGATTTTGGGAAAACCAAAATCATTTTTATCCTCAAATTCTGCTGAAATGAAAATCATCTGAAGGGACCATTCTGTCATTAATTACAGTTTTTTCACCTAATTATTAAATAAATATCCTTTATTGTTAAAGATGGTGACGATAGGAAGCTCCAGCTGTGAGCTAAATTAAGCTACAGGAGTTTTCATACATGTGTTTTTTTGCAGCTGACAAACATCAGAAGTTTGAACACAAACCAAACGTTTGTCTCCTGAATCCAAATGGAATCGTTCCCATTTTAACCTTTAGATCCATCTTTAGTTTAACTCAGACCAGCTGAACATCAGCCACCCCAACCTGTGACTCGCCTCATCTCCTCCTTTCTTTTAGATAACTCAGATGATGTCGACTCCTCTGCTCCAACGCTGAAAGATGCTCAGCCAGCTGCTCCAGAATCAGGTGATCCACTGGCCGGATGTGTGTTCTGGCTCTGGCTTGCCTTTCCTGTCTCTTCTCACTGATTCTCTGATGCATTCTGACATTAGGATTCACACTTTTCTGGGAAACCATTGGACCCTCCTGCGTTTCTGATGTTTGAACTCCAGTTCTCCCCCCCCCCCTCCCCCCCCACACACACACACATACACACATCTGCTTAGGGCTACTGACATTTTCTCGTCTTTGGTGAATTTTCAGGTAAACAGTCTCTGAAGGTGTTTGACGGCGATGATGCACTTAAACGTGGCTCCTTCCGACTGGTTTCCATCTACAGAGCCACGAGGAATGAGGAAGTAGTGGTGAGAAAACACTTCCTTCCTGAAAACTCAACTGAGTGGCTCAGTGATGCTATTTTTGCAGCCGTTCCCATCACCTCCTGTGCAGCGGGCAGTTTCGCACCTCAGGAAGTCATCAGGAATGTGTTTTGTGTCACTAAACGGTGAGCTGTTGAGCTGAAGGACTCTAAGAACCGGTGTTACACACACGGCAGGCGCTCTTAAGGAGGACCGACCTGTTGAACCAGACATCATAAAGAACGTCTAGAGGGGAGATGTAACAGCTGCTCGTCGGTCTGAGAAAGGTCAAAGGTTTTTGAGAGCCCACATTCTACAGAGAATGATTATTCCAATTTCAGAAGGCAGTGGTTTACACCAAAGGTCAGAGGTCAACTCTCAGTGAAATGATTAAAAAAATGTCTGACTGCAGGCTTCATTGAGCTGGTTAAAGGACAAAGGTTAGGGTGTCTCAGACCAGGATGGTAGAGTTTAATCTGAACAAAGCTTCTGGAACAACAGGACAGAAGTATAGGCATTTACCCACAATGCCTTGTGGCACCAGCAGCTGTTCCAGGCATGGAGGGTTGATGGTTTGGTCTGGTTCTGCAGCTACAGGACTCACTGAGTCCGCCATGAATGTTCTAGAGTCTAATGAGAGAACATCTGTCTGACAGCTGGAGAGTGGATCGAATCGTGTCATGAAGCAAAACCACAATCCCAAACACAGCTGCAGATCTGTAGCAGAATCAAGGTTCTCTAGTGGTCCAGATCTGGACCAGAACCTGACACATAAGCCAGTAGAACTAAAGTTAACTGCAGCTGTTGGAACTTTTCTAGTCAGGTTTAGTTCTGAGCCTCATAAGGACCACCTCTGGTCACAGTCCTCACCTGAGCCCATTGCAGTACCTGTTCTGTCCTACAGGAAGCAGCACTGAGGGCTTTCTACCTGTGTGATGAGCCGCAGAACTATGAGCTGCAGGTTGTCCGGGGCCCGCAGCATGTCAACAGTGACGACATCCTGAACCGGAACGCCAGCGGTCCCGACAACAGAGGCTCTCTGAAGGACTTGTGTGACACCTGGCTGCTGACCGCTAAACCACGACATGCTGATGTCATCAAGGTGTACACAAGGCCCAGGTGAGACTTACAGCAGGTGTGCTGATCCTGTCATCCAGGCTGTGGTTGTCCTTGTAGTTTCTGGAAAGAGGAAGCTGGACCTCTTGATTTCCCTGAAGACATCTTGCTTCTCATCACAGGAACTTCTTCAGTTCAAACAGAAAAGTGCAAAATCCCAGTGACCATAAAGACCCTCAGGAGACGGATCCGTGAACCAGCTTATGGAAGCTTGGAACTTTTGCAATCTTCTGTTAAAATTAGGAAAACATTTGTAATCAGAAAATAAACATCTTCAAGGAAATAAAGAGGTCTAGGAGTTGTTTTCTGGAGATGCAAGGAGCCAAAATATCTGAAGAAACTGGTCCTTCATTCAGAACTTTCAGGGTTCTCAAGCAGTTTAGGGGCCACAAGTGGTACGTCAGCCCCCTCTAGTGGCACACAGGAGGAACTAGAATATCAGCTGGATCTAAAACTGGTGTCCATCTTCTGTTTCAGCTCCAGCTCAGCTTTTGTCTCCGTGTCCGTCTCAGAGTCCAGCACTGCAGCGTCTGTTCTCAGAGAAGTCCTCCTTCAGCCGGACACACGGGGAGACGGCAGCTCCTGCAGCCTGGAAAATCCTGGAAAGTTTGTGGTAAATAATTCTGACACAAAAGCAGATCAGGATGTATTTTAGGAATATTCTACAGGAGTAGTTGGACTTGATGTTCCCTCTCTGAGGAAGTAGTTGATGTGTTTCAGGATAAGGACGAGACAAACTTCAGTCTGCAGGAGGTTAACATGAGCAGCAGGCAAGGTAAGCTCAGCTTCAGCGTCAGCTTCACCCAAACGCCGTCGCTGACCCGGTCTGTTGACCCGACCTCTGGTTCTGTCTACAGTTCAGAGACAAACTCTAAGTCCTCAGGATAAGATTCTGGACAAACTGAAGGAGATCAGAAAGGTAGGGAGACACAAGTACAGCCAACATCTCTTCAGTGGACCACGAGGACTGAGATCCAGGCGGTTCTGGATGATTCTGTTTGAGTGGAAACTAAAAACCTGCATCAGGCTTTTAAAGCAAATCCTTAACTAAATCTCATGTTTTTTTATGTGTTTTTTAACATCTTGGATCATTTGACTTCATTCAGTTTATTTTTTGGTCATCAATAATGATTAATTTGGTGATTAAAATCTGCTTTAGCTGACAGACGAGTCTGAAACCAGCCTGGTTCTGAGCTGATGTCAGGTTTGGTCTCCTGCAGGTTTCCCTGCGTCAGATGAACCAGACCCGGTTCTGTATGGTGGAGAACCAGAGCCCAGCCGTACAGGTGAGCCTACTGATCATAGGCCTGCCCCCTGACCGCTCCAACGAGGAGTACACCCAGCTGATCCAGAACCACCTGGCTGTTAAAAGTGAGTCTGCCTCAGTGGCGCCTCCTGCTGATGGGAAAAGCTGCTCCTAAAATCAGATGATTTTTAAAACGATCTTTATTCATTTGTTTTAATGGTCTTATTAGATGTTTTTAATTGTTTGTTCTCATTTAATCATGTTCAGATTTTGATGACAGGTGCTATACACACAAACTTTACTTACCTTCACAGATCATTTTAGTTCCAGCAGAAGTCATCATGAGAACTTTTTTTTTATTTTGCCGTTGTTTCACAGGAAACAGGAAGTCTTGTTTAGCTTTTTACTTCCTGGGTGAAGCTGCTGTCAGAGAGGACAAAGATGGATCATTTAACTCCTCCTCCTCTCTGTCTTCATCTCTTCAGGTCACCTGGTCTCCATCAACCATGTCTACAGCAGTCAAGGTGAGTGTTGTCATGGTAACCAGTCTGCTGGGTGGTTCCTAAAGAACAATAAAGTCGTTTGGCTCCAGATGTTTGACCATTTCAGTAAAGATGTACTTGGACTGACTGAGACTGAGCTTGTGGATCTCAGTAGAACCTTCAGAACCACCTGGACCTGTTGGCTCTCTGTGTTCAGGGGCGGTGGTGCTGCAGATCTCCTGTTTCTCTGAAGCTGAGAGGGTCTACATGCTGGCCAAAGACACGTCCATAGAGAACAAGATGCTGACGTCTCTGGTGATACCCGAGATTCAGGTAAGCTGTTGGAGTTCTTCAGTCCCATTTCAGACAAGGACGGGTTGTCTCTGTGACGGACTGCCAGTACCAAAGATCCAGTGAAACCGGTTCTGTTCTGTGTCCGCTCAGCTCTGGCTCTTTCGTCCAGTTAGGTGCAGTTTGATATCATTCAGAGGGGAGATGGCTTAAACAAAAATCTTTGAAAATGTTCTGCTACCAGAACTGAATCTGGGTTCAACATCGGCCAAAGTGCAAGGAGGAACTCATTCAGACCTTCAGGTCTGGACAAATGTTGATCCAGAACCAGTGGGTCCCACATGGTCTAGATCAGGGGTGTCCAATCCTGGTCCTGGAGGGCCGGTATCCTGCATGTTTTACCCCGGCTTTCCACAGGAGCCGTCAGCAGCACGTTACTGCAGCAGCACGTCATAGCTGCTGATAGGAACCGCTGTGGTCAACAGAACCCTTTCCACCGGAGCCGTCAGCAGCGCGAGTCGGCCGCGTCTCAGGAGCAGCATGTCGCGGCCTTTACGCGCCGGTTCTATTTTCTACGCGCGACGCCTCTGAAACGGGTCAAGTTCGACATTTTTGGGGAAGGAAAGACAGGAAATTGGACGCGGAAATGGAGAGAAGCTCCCGAGATTTTCAGAATAAAGAACGTACTGCCTTCTAGTTGCTTTACTTTTAAAAAAAGTTACTAACTGTACGGCCCCGTGAGAAGTTATCACCTAGCTAGCGGTCTCCTTTGTTTTTCAGGTCCGTATTGGTGATTATAAAACGGACAGAACATAAAACACAAACCATGTTGTAGTTTTCTCCTGCTTGTTGTTGTGTTTACTGACTAAGTCACTCGTGTGACTTCGTGCTCGGTCGGTGACAGCTGCTCCCCTGCTGCTTCGCAACACGGCTCCCTGGAAACCTGGGGTTAGTTTGAACTCTGTTTCAACACACCTGATTTCAATCAGCAGCTAATTAATAGGCTTCTGCAGAGCCTGATGAGCTGCTGCATAGGTGTTTGAACCACTGAATCAAGCCTGTTGGAACAGAAAAACCACAAAACCTGCTGGATACTGGCCCTCCAGGACCAGGATTGGACACTCCTGGTCTAGATGATTTATCTACCTCCTTATTATCATCAAGTTCTGCGGAAGTGGAAACATCAGAAACATGCAGGATAGTGGACCCTGAGGACCAGGATCAGGGACCTGAAGTTTACAAGAATATAGGAAAGTCTGGCTGCTGGGAAGAGATGAAGACCGGATCAGGAGATCTGGTCTGGATCAGGAACAGGGCTGGACATATATGAAGACAAAAACTTGTTGTTTTCCAGGCCAACAAACTGGGAGACGTGTGTCCCCTACTGGTCTTTGTGAACCCAAAGAGCGGTGGTCTGAAGGGCAGAGAGCTCCTCTACAGCTTCAGGAAGCTCCTGAACCCTCACCAGGTCTTTGACATCTGTAATGGAGGTCCACTGGCTGGGTAAGAGCACCATACACACACACTTGGGTCAGTCCAGGTCTTTTGTTTGTTTGTTTCCCTGTATCAGCTGAAGACATGATCTGTCATATTCTCCGTGTTTGGTTCCTCCTAGAGGACGAACAGAACTTGGCTGTTTTGGATGAGAACAACCAGACTAACACAAATCTGATGCTTCCTCTCTGGTGCAGCCTGCACACGTTCAGGGAGGTTCCCAGGTTCCGGGTTCTGGTCTGTGGGGGTGACGGGACGGTTGGCTGGGTGTTGGGGGTTCTGGAGGCTGTGAGGCACAAACTGGTCTGCCGGGAACCCCCCATAGGCATCGTCCCGCTGGGAACAGGTGAGCCCGGAACTACAGGGTCTGTCCTGGATCAGCTTCTTCTCTAAAGCACCGGGTTTGTCTCACCAGGGAACGACTTGGCCCGCGTTCTGCGCTGGGGAGCCGGCTACAGCGGTGAGGACCCTCACCACATCCTGGTCTCTGTTGACGAGGCTGATGAGGTTCTGATGGACCGCTGGACAATCCTGCTAGATGCCAGAGACATCTCGGAAGAGGGGAAGGATAATGGCTTTTTGGAACCACCCAAGGTCAGTTCTTTGTAAAGAACCTTCAGATCCAGTTTTAATAGTTATATAAATAGAACAGCTTCTTCTGTTTGCTGCTGAACTTAATTCATCTCTAAAGAATGAAAAGACCCCACTGAGCCAGAGGTTTGAGCTGTTTTAGAGATGACTGGATGCCGATGAGACATGAAATGTCTCAGAAAAACTATTCAGGTGAAGTTTCTCGGTAATCTGGGTCATGGTGTTTCTTGCGGGTGCAGAAGAGAGATAACTGGACTTCTTTGCTTCTTTGAGGATGATTTGCTCCACTTTGTCTTCCTCCTCTAACATCAACCTAAATGTCCAAAATGTTAACTTGTCTGTTCTCTAGAGAGGATCACCGTCTAGCTGGCATTCATCATGCTCATACTGCAGTTTAAATGATAATAATGATAAATGACCCGCACTTGTATAGCACCTCTCAGAGTAAGGACTCCAAAGCGCTTTACACTACAGTGTATCATTCATCCATTCACACACACATTCACACACTGATGGTGATGAGCTACAATATAGCCACAGCTGCCCTGGGGCGCACTGACGGAGGCGAGGCTGCCGAGCACAGGCGCCACAGGTCCCTCCGACCACCACCAGCAGGCAAGGTGGGTTAAGTGTCTTGCCCAAGGACACAACAGCAGAATTCTCTGTCCGGAGCCGGGATCGAACCTGCAACCTTCCGATTACTGGACAACCTGCTCAACCTGTTGAGCTACTGCTGCCCCAAAGCTCTGCACTCTGCACTTCTGTGGTTCAATCAGTCAAACTATATTTATAAAGCACGTTTCATACAGAAAATGTAACTCAAAGTGCTTTAAAGATTTAAAAAAGCCCAATTAAAACCTCCCTCCCCCCAACCCAGTGACACGCACATACCTACATGCACACACAACACAATTGAGAACGTAAGTATACACTAGGCTGGGCTCAGATGACTCGGATACATAAGGAAACGCCATCAGGGGGAGCCGTCTGCCCCAACAGTAGCAGATCCACGGCAGCAGCCCGACACAGGGCCACCAGAGGAGGGAGAGCAAGGGCCCCCACCTGCACCCAAGCACTACCTGGAGAGAAAAAGAAGAAAAAAGTATCATTTCTATAGCGCCTCTCAAGATAAAAATCACGAGGCGCTTAACACAAACAAAAAATGTAAAAATATAAAAAGCATTTAGAAAATGTTTAAAAATATATTTAAAATGAGCAAAAATAGACAATTGTGATTAAAAAGAGCACTGAGGCCGCTCCCGCCGACCCTGAGGCAGAGGACTCCCACAGAGGAAACGCTGTTATGTATTCGAATTAGTAAGAGAATAGAATAATGAGGTAATACACTGATCACTATTTATCTATTTTTGTAACTGTAAAAATAGTAAAACAATATAAAAACATAGATGTATAACAAAACTGTCTTAAAATATAAGCATGTAAATAATAAAAAATAATCAGTTAAAAGCTAAAGTAAAAAGGTGCTAAAAAGCAGTCTTGAGTCTGCTCTTAAACACATGAACAAACGAGACAACTCCTCAGATCAGAAGCAAGGAAATGAAGTCCAGCTGCCTGAACCTGCTAGAACCTGAGCAGACGTGATCATGTGATAAGTAGATAACAAGGGCCTCTCTGTTCCTGTCAGATTGTCCAAATGAACTGCTACTTTGGCCTCGGTATTGACGCGCAGCTCAGCCTGGACTTCCATCAGGCCAGAGAAGACGAACCGGATAAATTCACGAGCAGGTAACCCTCTGGCCTCCGGGCTGTCACTCACAGCTCAGGTCTCAAAAATAGGTCCAGCAGGGACATCTAGTGGTCATTAGTTATGCATTTGGGTCTTTGAGCTCTTGGCCACAGCTGAGGCAAACTCCTTTTGATAAAGACCACATTTCCCATCAACCCCTGTGATTTTTGCCTTCCATAGGTTCCATAACAAAGGTGTGTATGTGAAAGTGGGTCTGCAGAAAATCAGTCACACCAGGAGTCTCCACAAAGAGCTGCAGCTCCAGGTGGACAACCAGAACGTCCAGCTGCCCAACATCGAGGGACTCATCTTCCTCAACATCCCCAGGTAACACACATACACACACACACACACACACACCTGCGTCACAGCTTCATCATACCCCTCTTCCCCCGTGTGTAGCTGGGGTTCTGGTGCAGACCTGTGGGGTTCAGAGGTTGAAGGTCGCTTCAAGAAGCCGAGCATCAGTGATGGCCTGCTGGAGGTGGTTGGGGTCACCGGAGTTGTTCACATGGTAAGACAGGTCGTGCTCTACCAACCTGTTATCTTATAAACAGCCACTCACTGTGGTTCTGTGGTCCTGCAGGGTCAGGTTCAGAGTGGCCTGCGGTCTGGAATTCGGATCGCCCAGGGGAACTACATCAGGCTCACCATCCGGAACCCCATACCTGTCCAGGTGGACGGAGAACCTTGGATCCAACCACCAGGTCTTATCATCATATCTGCTGCAGGGCCAAAGGTGTGCTTTGTTTGTTCCTTCAAGGCCTCCATACTTTTCACAACTTACCCCGGCTTTCCACAGGAGCCGTCAGCAGCACGTTACTGCAGTAGAACGTCATAGCTGCTGATAGGAACCGCTGTGGTCAACAGAACCCTTTCCACCGGAGCCGTCAGCAGCGCGAGTCGGCCGCGTCTCAGGAGCAGCATGTCGCGGCCTTTACACGCCGGTTCTATTTTCTACGCGCGACGCCTCTGAAACGGGTCAAGTTCGACATTTTTGGGGAAGGAAAGACAGGAAATTGGACGCGGAAACGGAGCGAAGCTCCCGAGATTTTCAGAATAAAGAAACGTACTGCCTTCCGGTTGCTTTACTTTTAAAAAAGTTACTAACTGTGCGGCCCCGTGAGAAGTTATCATCTAGCTAGCGGTCTCCTTTGTTTTTCAGGTCCGTATTGGCGATTATAAAACGGACAGAACATAAAGCACAAACATTTTGGAGCCATGTTGTAGTTTTCTCCTGCTTGTTGTTGTGTTTACTGACAAAGTCACTCGTGTGACTTCATGCTCTGTCGGTGACAGCTGCTCCCCTGCTGCTTCACATCTGGTGGGAAGGGCCAAGCAGCAGCTTACGCGAGCAAGACGTGCTGCTGCAGTAACGTGCTGCTGACGGCTGCGGTGGAAAGAAGGGGTTACTTCCTGTTTGCTTGGTACGCTGCTTTTTCCTAACCAGGTTTCTGACCCTGGATCTGCTCAAGTAGAACCACAGGTTCTGTAAGTTCACCAGAACCTCCAAAGCCTTTTGACAAAAATCTGCTGGTAAATTATCTAATCTAAAATAAAGTGTTTTATAAAAGCATGCCACTAGCATGTGTGTTACACGAGTAAGGAAAGAAGCAGCTCTTCCTTTAGAAATATAAATCATTCAGATGTGAGCTAACAATTCAAGCTACATTTGATATTTAATCTATACATCTGGATTAAACCATATTTTTCTATTCTAATTGTCATTCAGTCCAATCCAAAAATACTTTATGGGAAAGGGAAATTTCTGTCTGATGAACCTTTAGCTTTACTGAGTTTGATCTGCTCTTCTTTTACCGTCCGAAGGTCCGGATGCTGAAGAAGTCCAAGCAGAAGCAGAAGAAGTCTTCAGCCAACAGGGACGGACGCTCTGAGAGTCCGTCCTCCAGAGACGGAGGACACTGAGAGGCTCACCTGGAGAACCGTTGTCCTGCCTTTCACCTGCTGAGGAAGCTGTTCTGGTCCAGCAGACATGAATCCACTCATGTAGCTTTGTAGCGACAGATGTAGGTCGCAGACCGACCTGAAGACGGGAGGAGGTTAAACTTTTAACATCCTGAGGAGGAGGAGGTATCAGGGTCACATTTCACACCTGCTCCTTAAACATTTAACAGAAATAATCACCATACGTGATAAATTCAAATACGTCATTCACATCTGGAACTAAATGAAGGCGTTTGTTCCTTCCAGATGTGAGCGTAGATATAGAGTAAGTAGACGTAGACTCAGCTCTTTACTGTAGTGTGTGCAGCTGTTGGGTGTTTAGGTCCTGAAGGATCTCAGGCGCTCGAAGAAAACCGACAGGTGGTTTTTAATAAAAAGCTGCGACCTCGTTAATGAGATCCTCTTTTCCTTCGTCGTCTCGTAATCGTGACGTGGGCTTTACGAACCCCAGGAACGATCTAAAGTTGCCTGTTCAGGGTTCAGCGTGGAGAATAAAGTCCGATCGGTCTGAGCTGTGCCAAGCTACTGAAGGAATCTGCTTCTGTCATATTTCAGTCTCAGATTTCTACTTTTTATTAACAAGATGCAAACCAGAGTCACTGTGTTGGATAAAAACACGGAACCATGGAGGGAAAAACACAAATGTTTCTTTATAAAATGTAAAATAAAGCTGTAACAAACCGTAGAATTATTTTTTAAAAACTGCCCGATAAAGCTGAAATAATGATTAAAAACTGGGTTGTTTTAAGCTGATCTGAGACCAGCTGATTATCCTGCTGTTGGAGATGTTTTAAATCTGAGAGGATTTGAGACTTTTTATGTAAGTGGTGTGTAGAATATGAGATAATCTGGAAGGATGGGACAAATCAGGACAAATGTCCTGATAAATACTGTAAATCAAGCAGCTGATTGTATAATAGATAGAAACCTGAAAACCTGTCTCCTGATGAATTAAAACAAAAAATTAAACCTTGGTAATTTTATAATTGGACTTCCCTCATTAAGGTTTATTTATAAAACAAAGTAGTATTGTTTATGACACACTGAGACAGGTGACTTTGGTCCTTTTGATTATCAATAGCTGCTGACTAAGGCCTTAATGTCTATATCTATTAACAATTCATATTAATAACCGAAAATGGCTTTTAAGGGTTTTGTTTAGCCTTTTATTAAAAGTAGTGAATTATTTCAAATGAGCTGATGTTAGATTTACTAATCCAGAGAAAAAAACTCTAATTTTAAAAAACTTTTTTGATTTTGGTTTTTCATAAAGATAATTATCAGATGAAGTTTCCACAGACTCACCAGTCGTCCCGTCAACGCTTCTGTGTGAACTTCCTGAAGTTTGTTACTGTAATAATTATCAAAGCCGTGGCGAGCTCCACAGGTTCACACATTATCTGGAATAATAAGACTTAATCATCTCTGAGGGAACCAAACTGTAAAGGTGTTATTAAGACATCAGTGCCTTCGTGGGTGTGTTCTTGAGAAGAAATTTGAAACCGTTTGAAACGTTTTTACTCAGAGTTACCGTTCGGTTCAGGTGTGCACGTCTTCCCAGGTGAGCAAGAAGCAGGATTTCAAAATAAAATACAAGGTAGAAATGTAACGAAACTTAGAAACTGTCACGTTTTGGGGATGTTTAGGACCCAAATATGCAGCAACCCAGGATGACACGAGGCAGGAGATGATGTAAAGTAAAATCCTTTATTGTTGAAGGATGAAACGAAGAATACATCCAGGGCAGAGAACCAGAGTCCAAAAATGTTCAAAATCCAAAATAAACCAGAGATCCAACTGAGACACGAGAAAATACTAGAGACTAGGAACGAGAGACTGACAGAATACCAACAATGGACCGACAAGACACTGAGACAAGACAGGGCTTAAATACACAGGGAGGATGAGAGGGAGATGAGCTGCAGGTGTGTGGGATGTGGGAAGAGGACCAGGTGAAGGCAATGACTAATCAGGGGAGAAACTAACTTGACCTAAGAATAAAACGGAAGTTACGGTGTAACTATGGTTCTGTGAGTTCCTGGATGACTGCCAGAGGCAGTAAACAGAGTGGATGTATCTCCTCGCGCTCTGCGCAGGTCGAGTACTAATGTAAACAAAGTCACGCACGTGACACGTGGTCACCTGGTCGCGAGTCTATAAATTACGCGCCGATAGCTACGTTCGGGTCTCCCGGGATCTTCTCGCCCGAGAAGTTCCGAGTGACCCCTGTGACTGGCAGTCATCCAGGAACTCACAGAACCATAGTTACACAGTAACTCCCGTTCTGTTTCGTTCCCTCCTGCCTGCCAGTGGCAGTAAACAGAGTGGATGACTTATGCCAGCAGTGTCACGAGGAACACAAAACTCAGCTTCGCTCAGGAGGTAGCCGCCAGAGGCAGCACCGCCGAAGCGAGCGTGGACCCGTGGCCAACGTTGAGGCGGTAGAAGCATGCAAACGTGCACGGAGTTGCCCAGGACACTGCAGCACAGATGTCCGCCAGTGGCACACCTCTCATCGCCGCCCAGGATGTAGCAACACTCCTGGTGGAATGGCACACGATCCCAGGGGGAGCCACTGCTCCCGCTGCCGCATAAGCCATTGCAATGGCATCCACGACCCAATGCGACAGCCTCTGCTTCGAAAGGGCCCGACCCCTGTTCACTCCTCCGTGACAGACAAACAGCTGGTTCGACTGCCGGACAGTGTTTGTTGCCACAATATAGAGCTGCAGTGCCCGGACCGGGCACAGCAAATTCACCCGCCGTTGTCCCTCCGAATGAAATGGGGGAGGGAAATACGCCCCCAGCTCGATTGCGGCATTCACGTAGCCAGAGGGCAGAACTTTGGGAAGAAAGGCAACGTTGGGCCACAGCGTCACCCCCGGCCCATCTGCCTTCCACCGCAGGCAGGCGAGGCTGATGTCCAGTGCGTGCAGCTCACTGACCTGTTTAGCTGACGTCACTGCCAAGAGAAAGGTGGTTTTCACAGACACCACTGCCAACGGGGCGGTAGTCATCGGCTCAAAGGGTGGCCCACACAGGGCCTGCAGGACCAGGGGAAGGTCCCAAGCAGGTGCCGGCCTGCACAAGGCAGGACGCAACCTTCTCACACCCCGCAGAAACTGGGTCACCAGACAGTGAGCCCCAGTGCTCCTGCCATCCACCAAGAGGTGGTTGGCCGAAATTGCCGCCAGGTGTACCTTAAGGGTCGAGGCGGCCCGGCCCTTGTCAAACAGGTGCCGGAGGTACAGCAGAACCTCATGCAGGGAACAAGAACCAGGGTCCACGTCCCTGCCGGAACACCAGGTAGAGAACCACTGCCAACAGCGAGCGTACGTAACCCTTGTAGACGGAGCCCTGGCACTATCCAGCACCTGCTGGATGGAGGGCTCAAAGCCGACTGGGGGCTGCCTGCCCCCTTCAATGGCCACACCGTGAGCCGAAGATGATCTGGGGATGGATGCCAAATCCTCCCCTCCATCTGAGACAGGAGGTCCCGTCTTGCCGGCAACCGCCACGGCTCCCCGTTCAGCAGACTGAGAAGCAATGGAAACCAGACCCTCATGGGCCAGTCTGGCGCCACCAGAAGGACCTCGTGTGACGAGTCCCTCACCCGATGGAGGGTTGGTAAGATCAACGGGAAAGGTGGGAAAGCGAACAGCCGAACCAACTGCCAGGCATTGGCGAGAGGGCATCCATCCCCAGAGGGGCGTCGGCCTCTGCCAGGGAGAACCACAAGGGGCAATGCGTGCTGCTCCTCGAGGCGAACAGATCCACCTGGGCCTCTCCGAACTGATGCCACACCCTCTGCACCACCGGAGGGTGCAACCTCCATTCCCCCGGGGGAAGACCCCGCCGGGACAGGCAATCCGCCACCGAGTTCCTCCACCCCGGAAGGTGCAGCGCCCTGACGGAGGCCAAGCGAGGGTAAGCCCAGGTCAGCAGCGTCTGAGCCTCCCTCAAAGATTGCAATGACCTGGTGCCCCCCTGATGGTTTATGTGGAACACCGCCGAGGTGCTGTCCATTCGGACGAGCACGTGCTTGCCCCGCAGAAAAGGCAAGAAGCGCCTCAACGCCAAGTAGACGGTCTTCAATTCCAGGACATTGATGTGAAGCCATGCCTGACGGGGGCTCCACAACCCCTGGACCGACCTGCACTACCAATGCGCCCCCCACCCCCGGGGTGACGCATCCGTCTTGACCACCTCCCTTCTGGTGGGAACCACGCCAAGCGGGACGCCGAGACTCAGGTAGGCACATCGTTCCAATGACGCAAAAGAGCCGCACAGCTGCTCGTGACCTCCAGCTTGACCCGTCGGTGTCGCCGGGGATCCAGGCGGAAGCCGTTGAACCACCTCTGTAAGGGCCGAAGGTGGAGCAGCCCGAGAGGCACCAGTGCAGAAGCCGAGACCAGCATCCCCAACAGTCGTAGCCACACCTGGACCGGGGGTGCCGCCCCTAGGCGAAAGGCCCGGAGCAAAGACCGAATCCGGACCCTCCTCTGCTCGGTCAGCCTCGCCCGCATGGCCACAGAATTTATGGCAATGCCAATAAAATCCACCTGCTGAGTCGGAACCAGAGAACTCTTCTGCAGGTTCACCGTCATCCCCAGCGCCTCGACGTGGGCAAGGACCCTGGCCGTGGCCAGACCCACTTCGCGACACGACGGCGTGCAGACGAGCCAGTCGTCGAGATATGGCAAGACCTTCAACCCCGACCGACACAGGGGGCTCAGGGCTGCCTTCACGCACCGCGTGAAAACTGGGGGGCGAGAGACAGGCCGAATGGCAGAACCAGAAACTGGTACACCCTCCCGAGGAAAGAAAACCGCAGGTACTTCCTGTGCCCCGGATGGATCGGGACATGGAAGTATGCGTCCTTGAGATCTATGGTCATAAACCACTCTCCCGGACAAACCACCTGAAGGACATCGCGAGTCCGAAGCATGCAGAAGGGCAGCAGCTTCAGGAACTGATTGAGACCCCTGAGGTCCAGTACCGGCCGCAGGGGCCCGTCCTTCTTCGGCACCAAGAAATACGTCGAATAAAAGCCGTCTGCCTGCAAATGCGGCGGAACAACCTCTGTGGCCCGTTTGTCCAGGAGAACATCTATTTCCTGCATCAGGATGCTGACCCGTGCAGGATCTGTGGGGGGGGGGGGCTTGGGGGGGCTCTGTCCTGCCCCGAGTATCCCCGGGGCAGTGCCTGACCTGCCCCCGAGCGTCTCCAAGTCCCTGCCGCAGCCACGGTCTGCTGGGTGGCCTGCAAGGGGGAGGCCGGACGAAACCGGTGCCGAGGGTCCCGTGCCCCTCGTGGCCTGGACTGTGGCACGGGGAGGATCCCTGCCCTGCTACGCCCACTCCAGGCCTCTGCGGCCTGTCTGGACTGCCGCCGACGTTCCAACGCCCTCTCAGCCTCGGGCCCGAACAACTGGCCCGGCACCACGGGCAGTCCGCGCAGGCTCTGTCGGCAGTCATCCGACACCGGGGCCTGCGCCAACCAGACCTGACGGCGAGCCACTACCAGTGTGCCCAACAACCGACCAAGCTCCCTGGACATTAGCCCAAACGCTTGCAGGGCTGCGTTGTTTGAATCGCCCAGTGCCATCCCCGCTGCGCCCGATTGCAGCATCTGGGACTGGGCTAGCAACAGCACCGACAGCGAATTGCTGGTGCGTGCCATCCTTGTCCCGATGTCGTAAGCCCGGCACAGTAAGCTGTCGGTCACCCGACACTGGGTGCTCGGACAGCGGACCCTGTCAATGCCTCATCCGGGGAGAGCACCAAAGAAGCAACGCAGTGGTCCACCGGGGGCATGTGGTCCAACCCGTAGGTTCCTGCCTCCCGCATCGATGCCAGGGTCCTGACATCCCTACCATGGTGGGAGAGCTGTCTCGGGTCCCCCCAGCACCGCTGCAGCTCCTCTACAAAGGCCGGCGATGGTGGGACCTGAAATGGGGGCGCCGCCGGAGGCCGGCGGAAGAAGGAATTCCCCACCGGACGGGCCACCGGCACGTTGTCCAGTCCAATCCTGGCCAGTGCCTCTCGCAAAATCGCCCGCAACTGACAGGAATCCTCCGCCAGCTCTGAGCTTGCTGAGCTATGGATGGACATCCCCGAGTCTCCGTGACCTCCCAGGCCCTGGGGCTCCACTACCAGCCCCTGACTACAACCCGGAGAGGGGCCCTCCTCCTCAAGGGACTGAAACTCAGAATTTGAGGCCCTCATAGAGGTAAGGTCGTCCAAGCCCCCCTCGTCCAGGGCTCTGGTCAGCAGCGCTTTGAGCTGTTCCACCTCTGCCCGCAAAGTGTCCACTTCCTGGTGAGAGGGGTGCGCCACATGCCGCTTCTTGCGCCTCGGGCTGCCGCTTTCCTCAGCCGGTCTATCCCTCCGTCTCCCGGAACACGGGTGAGGGATACCAGAGGGCGGCAGGTCTGACTTAAACAGGAGGCACTACTTGACGTATCCTGTCCTCCGCACCGCCAGCGGCAAAATGCTGCAGTTCATGCATGGGTCAGTCAGCACCTCTCTGAGGTGACCGACGCCCAGGCACTTTGGACACAAGTCGTGGCCGTCCTCCACCTGGAGGGGAGCCCCGCATGACGTACACGCCAACATCCGTACCGGTGTGGGAGACGCCAGCGACTCCACAGGAACTGAGCGAGGACTTCGAGGAAAACTGAAGAACGCGATTCAGTCCTGGAGTTGTAAAACAACACACGTGCGTGTGTCAGCTGGGTAATCTGAGCGTGCCACCTCCACGGTCAGAACGTCCAGCCCCACTTACCTGTAGCGCTCGCCGGCCGCACCCACCTCCCCTTTCCACAGGGGAAAACCTGCGACCGCCAGCGAGCCCTATCCGAGCCAGCAGCGGTGGTCCGAACGGCGCCGGCTGCACCGCCCGCTCTCGGTAACAAATGACAGATAACAGCGTCAATCCACCTCCCCAGAGGGCTCCTTCGAGCGCTCCGACCACACGGTCCCGGGCAGGAAGACGCCAAGTAGAAACAGTACTCACCTCTAGACCGATAAGATCCGAATCACGGACTTACGGAGCGATTGACCAGCGAAGCACGCCAGGTCAACAGCGAGAAGATCAAAGAGACTCGAACGTAGTTATTGGCGCGTAATTTATAGACTCGCGACCAGGTGCGCTACGTGTCACGTGCGTGACTTTGTTTGCATTAGTACTTGACCTGCGCAGAGCGCGAGGAGATACATCCACTCTGTTCACTGCCACTGACAGTCAGGAGGGAACGAAACAGAACCTAATACAAAAGAGCAGGAAACATAACTACAATTCAAAGGGAGGGGGGAGAAAAATAATAAACACTGATGGGAAAAAAACATGCTAAATCATGAAAGGCTGTAACTAAAGGAAGTGACTTGAGAAACCTAGAGGGCTGGAGATCTAGGGGCAAATGGGGAAAACCAGAAGACACATGAGGAAAACGCAGACATGACACATGAGGGCGCTAGGACACAGAAGGGAATCTAGAGAGGATGGAGAAACACCAGGAGACACATGAAGGAAGGGGCAGACGCAGACCATGACAGAAACACGTTTAGTTAGTTTAAGTTTACTTGACTTAAAACATGTTAAACACTATCAGTATTTCTATAAGTAGCTTAATTACACTTTTTTTTGTTTAAAATTATGATTTTTTTTCTCTGAAATAAATTTATTTCAAACATTTTTTCTAAGAATTTAACAGAGAAGGTAAATTAACATAATGATCAAATCGATGTAATTATGACCCAGTTTAATCCAGGTAATCCCAAACAACCAGTCTGAGAATAAACCAGTTTATTTGTTTGATTTTTATTCAAATTTAATCCAAAAATAATCTCAATTAAATAAATTGACCTCAGTCTTTATAGGAGTCATAAAACTAAGTTTTATTCTCACTTTGACAAGTATCACACTCTGAAATCCCACCGGTACCTCAAAGATTTTACCTTTATTTTATTACTGATAATAAATAATAATAATGATGAAGCATCTCGGGTCTAATGTGACCTGCTGCAGCAGAATAAAACCAGATATTTATATATGTGTGTGTAAATAAGTACCTAAGCGCTGAAGGACAGAGTCTCGGTACAGTTTGGATCTCGACTCCTCTCACTGGAAGGATTTCCTAAACTGGGATCTTCGTTCACATTCCGACGTTCAGAGCAGAAAGACTCAGGCGGAGGATATTTCTCTGAGGGGTCCAGCTCTCGATGTAGCCTCAACAGTTTTACTATTTGCTGTTTCCATGTTTTGGTGCTAGATAGAACCGTTTGTTAAATGTGTGTTTGACTCCAGACTGGGGTGGTTTTTATTTCAAAACCTCAAACTGGAAGTGTTTTATTGAATGAAGGATTCGGATTATTTAAGGTGTCATTATTCTCTTTTGCAGCAGCTGCCTCAACACAGCTGAGATTTGTTATTTTAATAATATCTGTTAATATAATGCTTCTGACTGGAATCAGAATAATCGTTTACTTAAATTAATGGTTTGAGTATTTTATTACCTGTAAACCTCCTGAGGCTTTTATTTAAACCAGCAGTTCACCAAATCTGCATCAGTTTAGATTTTTTTTTCTTCGATGTGGAAGTTTTTAATCCTAATTTTCAATGTTAAAACATTTAAATCTATCAACTATAGTTGTTTCAGATAAATCAGAGCCAAACTATACTGACAAAAATAGTTCCCAATTACTATAATTTATGTAAAAGCTGTAAGTAATAATAATAAATAGATCAAAATGTTTTAAAATGTGTTCCAGCTGCTGTTTTCTATGGTGTATTTGGGTTTAGCAGCTTTTGAAAAGCCTTTAAAAGCTGGGAAATGCTGGTTTAGGTGACCTGATCCTAGGTGAGCAGCAGGAGGCTTTGATGAAACAGATCTGAGATCAGTGGCATTAGCTGTTCATTTGTTGGTTTGTGGAGAGTTTCTCAGACCTGCAGCTGTTGTGTGTGCTTGCAGCCAGATAGATGTAGCAGTGACACCTTCACCTGTTCAGGTATGAAGTAACTGTAGTTCTGCATCCTGTGGAGCTCAGAGCGGTTTCCTCTGCAGACTTTGGGCTCTTCAGTCTCATCAGTGTTGTGTTTTTGTTTCTTCGTGTCTTCAGCTTCAGGTTTCATCTTGTTTCTCCTCAGAAGTTCTGCATGTTTTCGCTGCTCATCAGATGGTTTACAGCTTAGTGATGTTTAACACGTTTTTCTGATCAAAATCACTTTGAATTCACATTCAAAACGACTAAAAATTAAAACATCTAGAACAAACAAACCAAAACAGAACAAAAGTTTAAACAAACTCTTTATTTTCCTTTCAGTTTTTGTCAGAAGTTTGTTTCCATCGACCAGCAGTGTGACCCATCAGAGTTTTCTTTATCTGTTTAATTTGTTGGTTAAGAGAATTCTAATTGGCTGTTCTGTGTGTCTTTTATTGCAGCGATTTTAAGATTTTAAATAAAACAAAGTGTCTGTAATAGAAGTTAGTCTGAACTAAGGAGTAGCTTTTCAATCTGAACTCATAAAAGTTCAACAAACCAAATCAGAACCACCTAGAACCCTAAACTGGACCAATTCTGACCCAAAACATCTCTTTAACTTAGTTTGATATTTTCTCATTAGATTCAGCTAGAATGTGTCAGCCATCTGTTTTTATTTGGACACGAAGTGAAGTATTCCTAAAATACTGGATTCAGAACTAAAACGATAAAATATGTTTAACGTTTTCAGTAAAACGTCAGAGACCTGAAGCTCTTAAGAGACGTAAAACAACCGTTTTCTGAAATTCATATTTTTGGTTGACATCAATAAGCTAAAAACATCAAATCAATTTTGAATTAGTCAAATTTATGTGCTGCCATTAAAGTGAGATAAAAAAAATACAAAGTTTGATTCTCTGAAACAGAAACCTGTTATATTTATTTATTTACGTTCTGATAGAAATGTTATGTTTTAAAATTTGTTCATCAAATTTGAATCAATCATTAAAAAAAACACCTTAATTAAATTATTTTATATATTTGATTGAAAAATATCAGCCTCCTCCAGTCGAGCAAAAGTGGATCACGGATGGGCTGAGATCCAGGATCTGGTGGTCTCAGATCCAGGCTGCCAAGATAAACAACAAAGTACAACATAAGTGACAAAGTATTGAACACAAGAGTAGAAAATAACCACATATAATGAAAAGTGGTGAGGCCCAGGGTCACTGCGGGGTCCAGGGCCCTGTAGGCTCTCCATCCGTCCGTGCATTAGAACTCTGCCTCATTGTACTGCCAGTCACACAATAATGACAACCTTAATCGCTGCCATACTTGTTGTAAAATGTTGTTGCTGCTTTGACGTAACTCTGTTTCTCTATGTTCATTGTGCCTCTGTGGTGGTGATGTTTGACTCCGCCCCCTCAGAGCCTACGCTGGGGCGCCACGCTGCCTAGATGTTTAAAGTGTTTCCTGCCGTGGTGTGGTCACCTTCAGATGTGAGCTGATGTGCCTCTGGTTTCTTCTGCTGTAACTCGTTCTACTCAAATCATAACATGAATATTTTAGCAGACAGAAGGTGTTTTTAGTTGTAAAGTTTTAACTGTAAATTGCACTAAATGTTTTCTAGAACCTCTTAGATGTGCCGTTAAGATGATTCTGAATGTTGTTAGAACTCATGATAAATATGAAACATGTTTAAATAACAGTCTTCTATGTGTTTATTCATAATAAACTAAAGACTATTTAACCTGATGGATTGTTTCTTATTAGAAAATTGCTCTATTTAAACTTTTGATTCAATCTAGAACTCTTGACTGAAATCCTGTTTAAATCCTGATCAAGCCCCAATTTGAATGTCTTTCAGTTTTTCTTTGGACTTTGGCTGTATTTGGACTCGGCTTCATTTTTGGTACCAGAACATTTTTGTAGTAGATGATTACCTATAAACCATTCAGGCATAAAATTACGAGGTCAGATGACAGGAAGCCGCAGCCTAAGCCGAGAGACCAAGACTTCCCTTTCCCAGCTACTTGGGCCAGCTCCTCAGGGGGAATCCCAAGGCGTTCCCTGGCCAGCGGAGAGACGTAGTTCTTCCAACGTGTCCTGGGTCTTCCCTTGAGTCTCCTCCCAGTTGGACGTGCCCAGAGAACCTCACCAGGGAGGCATCCTTACCAGAGGCCCGAGCCACCTCAACTGGTTCCTCTCGGCATGGAGGAGCGGTGGCTCTACTCCGAGCCCCTCCCGGATGACCGAGCTTCTCACCCTATCTCTAAGGAAGAGTCCAGACACCCTGCTGAGAAAACTCATTTCGCCCACTTGTATCCGCAATCTTGTTCTTTCAGTCACTACCCAAAGCTTGTGATTCTTTATCTTGAAAAATGGTGGAGATATCTTGAATTAGGACATGTGCTAGCAGCGACTGACTGAGCGCCTCATTCTGTCGCTGTTGTTGTGTCCTTGGGCAAGACACTTAACCCCTCTTTCCTACTGGTGGTGGTCGAAGGGACTGGTGGTGCCAGTGCTCGGCAGCCTTGCCTCTGTCGATGCCCCAGGGCAGCTGTGACTACATCGTAGCTCATCCCCACCAGCGTGTGAATGGGTGTGTGAATGGGTGAATGACTGATTGTGTTGTAAAGCGCCTTGGGGTGTTCCAGGACTCTAGAAGGCACTATATCAAATACAGGCCATTTACCATTTATAGGTGAGGGTAGGAACGTAGATCGACCGGTAAATTGAGAGCTTTGCCTTCCGGCTCAGCTCTCTCTTCGCCAAGGCAGACTGGTACAATGCCTGCATTCACTCCAGACGCAGCACCAATCTGCCTATCGATGCCACGCTCCATTTTCCCCTCATTCTTGAACACGACCCAAAGTTAAAATTCCTCCCTCGTCCCAGACCTGGAGAAGGCATTCTACCCTTTTCCGATTTAAGACTATGGTCTTGGATTTAGAGGAGCTGATTCTCATCCTATCTGCTTTATACTCTGCTGTGAACCGCTCTAGCGAAAGCTGGAGAACATGTTCTGATGAAGCCAACAGAACCACATCATCTGCAAAAAGCAGAGACCTGGGGTATGGCGTCAGAATTCTGCCATATCTCGTGCACGCGTATTGTCCACATCGCGCGTGCGAACGGGACTCGCGCGTGGAGGTTAGAATCTCCACGAGTGAAGATATACATGGCGAGGAGGTCATTTGTACACTGAGTGGGAGCAAACTGTGTCTGTGAGCGCACAAGGATGTGCACTAGTGACAAACCTGCGTGTGCGCATTGGCCAACGAGCACACAGCAGAGGAAAACATGCGTGCGGCAGCCTCACTGCGCGTGTGGCAGCCTTTCTGCACGCTCGGTTTCTGATTCTGCTCACTCGGCTGTTGGGTGTTTTGGCACTCTGGAGGCGTGGAAGAATTAAAGTGCCAGAAATTGAGCACTTGAACTTTCAATTTGAGAGCAGAATTTCACATCAAGAGACCAACTTTTTAATTTAAGAATAAAATTTTATATTATTGCTCTCAAAACTTGTAATGCTTGCGCTCAAAATGTCTGCTCTCTTTCAAATTCACTCTGTTCTCCTTCAAATCTTTGTTTCTGCGCTCACGTGACAGCTTTTTCTCTGCACGGATCAAAACTCCTCCCACAAGTCTGTCCCCTGCTCTCACGGATTTCATCTGCTCTCGCTCTCCTAGCAACCGCTCAGCCAATAGAAAGACTTGTGGGACTGGGCGGGGCGGGAACGAACCCTGGCTAATACCCGCCCTGATCTGGAGCGGGGGTTTCACCTGCACCAGAGAAATGGACCAGAACCAACAAGACGCTCAAGTAAGTTATTTTTCAAGGCTACTAGCTGCGGCCACTGCGCAGGGGGAGGGCGGAGAGGGCTGAAGCAGCTGGGGAACAGTAGATGCAGAAACTACCGTTGTTAAAAGAAATGTGTGCTAATTTAGAAAATGTGGGCGCATTTTTAATTACTTGTCAACTTATTTCTCCAACGTTAAGACTGCTGCACAAAAAACAAAAAATAAAATAAATTAAAAAAAGACTGCTGCTAGTGTGGGCCCCCTTGTGGCTGTGGACCCCTGGGCTTGTGCCCAGTTTGCCCATATTAAAATCCGGCTTTGGCCAACTCTCACCAGAAACAAACTTGACTTACTGCCGGCAATGTGGACCAAGCTCTGACACAGGACATACAGGGACATAACAGCCCATATTAAAGGGCCTGGTACCTCATGCTCATGTAGTAATCCCCCTCAGGGCTCCCCCGGAGGACACGATCGTGCATTCTTCAAATCCACAAACATATAAATTGGTTGGGCAAACTCCCACGCACCCTCTAGGACCTCCCCTAAGGGGAGCTGGTCCAGTATTCCACGGCCAGGATGAAAACCACATTGCTCCTCCTGAACCTGAGGTTTGACAATCAGTGTTGGGAGTAACGCCGTTTAAATATAACGGCGTTACTAACGGTGTTCTTTTTTAGGTAACGGAATAATCTAGTTAATTACTTTTCCCACTGCTGCAACGCCGTTACCGTTACTGGGGACGGAAGGTTGTGCGTTACTATGTGCTTGTCGAACGTTGAGCAACAGTGTGAGACTTTCTGACCGCCACACTTCAGCTGCAGCCAGGGCGAGAGGTGTTGGTAACGCACTTACAAACACGATGATGATTGGCCGGGTGGGCGGAGACCCTCAGTGTTCTCACTGTCTCAGTCGCAAACATAGCAGTGATGGGAATAACGCTGTTTAAAATAACCACGTTAATAAATAAAAATGTTTCTTTCTGTAACGAGCAAACTAATTAATTACCGTCTTCTTTTAAGAAAACAATCGTTTCTGTTACTGAAGGAAATGTATGCGTTAAGCAGTGCGGTGTGTTGAAGCGGTCATCAGCTGATCAGGAGCTAAAGAGGTAGATGTTTTTTTCATCCAAGCGCATCACGGCCCGTGAAGAACGAGGAAGTCGTGATGAATATCTACGGCTGCAGACCCCTGACAGATTTGTTGCTGCAGCAGTGAATCTGCAACGAATCTGCGGGTGTGCAGCCGTGCCCTAGCGTGACAGAGGGACATCCCGAAGGTCCGCTCACCTGTTCACCGATCAGACCTCCTGACATGGACGTAATTTTCAATTTATAAGTGGGGGGGACGGGGTGTATCTTTACAGTATGCTCTAATGGGAAACAGGCTTCAACACAAACGGTTGTTTTCTGCTTGGTCCTAGAGCTCAACCAGTGTCAATTTAACATAGCGTAATATTGTTTTTGGATGGTAAAAAGTGCAGGGGTCAAAACTTAACTTTGGAAAAAGGGGGGGGGGCATGTCCCCCTTGTCCCCCCCCAAAATTACATCCATGCCTCCTAATCTTCTACCTTCCTAGATCATCCAGCTGTAACCTGTTTCTGATCATGTCTTTAGTCCCGCTGTAACACTGATGCATCAATCTCACACGTCATGGAGCTCAAGTGTTATTAGAACTACCTGTGTGTGTTTACCACCCAGCTTCAGCTCTTCTGTGGTTGGGTCTGACCCAAGTTAGTAAATGTAAGTCCTCCATCAGGCTTGTGCCTGTTCTAGTGTCATTTTAAAGGATTTTATTTATTTATTTAACCATGAATAGATGTGAAGCTGGAAAAATTAAAATGCTGTGCAAAATTGCATTCATTTCTGTAATTTAACTAGACTGAGAAACCATTTAAAGGCTCAGGAACCTTTACAGGTGTTTCTATTTGCAATTTTAAATTTTAGCTGATTGGGGTCTTGTTAAATATCACACAGTGACCTTTTAATAGTCTAGATAAGTGTAATGTTCCTGTTAGTATTTCCTCCTGTTAAGTGCTTATTTATTTAAATTATTCAGGTTTATAAAAAACATTTGGACATACATTTTATTATGTTCCAGTCATTAGTCATTTATATTTCACTAGTGTAGTAATTCTTGCATGCTTTAATGAAAAAAGTAACTAAGTAGTTATTTTTCTTGGTAATTAGTTACTTTTACAATCTTGTAACTCAGTTAGTAACTGAGTTACGTTTTTGACAAACTAATCAGTAACTATAACTAATTACTTTTTTAATGTAACGTTCCCAACACTGTTGACAATACGATGGATCCTCCTCACCAGAACCCCTGAATAGACCTTACCAGGGAGGCTCAGAAGTCTGATACCCCTGTAGTTGGAACCATGGATGTAGTTTTGGTGGGGGACATTGTCCCCTGCACTTTTAACTGTCCAAATACAATATTACGCTATAAATGGACTCTGGTTGAGCACTAGCATGAAGTGGAAAACAACCGCTTGTGTTGAAGCCTGTTTCCCATTAGAATGTCCATAAGCTCATCTATTGGCTATGCTGATACTTGCTAACATGTGATTGGCCGTTCCTGCCACCTGTGTACTCAACAGTTTAGCATTTCTGACATTGCATAAAAGAGCCTCTAGGCTGTAGTTCTTTACATATTTTTGTATACTTAACTGTAAGGATACCTGGTTGACCCCCCACCCCACCCCACACACACACACACTTCTAAAGTCAAAACTACATCCATGGTTGGAACACACCCTGCGTTCCCCCTTTTACTGCCAATGCAGTGAAACTGACCCGATGTCCACGCGATACTATTATAAAAGCAGAAAGAAAAGAGCCAGGGTCCGGTTAAAGTCCGGACTAAAAAAACCACAGGCAGAGAGCTGAATGTCTGCAAACATCAATAAAATGAATCAATATAAGAAAATAGTAGATCAAAACAACTTTAGCACCATGGGTGACACATTACTCGTTGCTTCTAGATGTTTGGTTTGGCTTTTATGAAATGGTGACACAAATAGCGAAGCTAAAACGTCATAAAGTGGACTTTGTGTGACGACCCGTTTTTGTCGTCAGGGTGAGCCATCTTCTTTTCTCACCTCTCTGCTGGAGCTCTACGTCACAGGGAATTTCCAGTAGGGAAGGAAATCAAGTCACTTTATTCTGAGACAAACTTGTCACCTGTTGGATTTCATTTGGGCCTAATCTGCGTGGATTAAAAACTGGCCGTGGCTCCAGACCCTTAAAATGTTGTCTGGCTGAAGCGAGGCTGTAAGTGGGTCCGCGGGTTCGGCATGGCGAACAAATAACGAGTCAACTGGAGTGAAGCGGGACGAGTCACACTCATGGTCACACTTCATGCTACCGACTTCCACCTGATCGAGTAAACCAGGTAAAAGCCTGCTACCGACACACGAACCGCGTAAACCCGGACTCTGGCCCGTTTAGTCGGACTCGAGGTCCGAACTTCTCCCTAGACCGTTACGGTGTTCTACGGCTCTGACTGACTGCTTTGTTATGCTACTTACTTCCTCATCAGCCAGGTAACTTTGACGAGGTGTCGTGAAGGGATTACTTTTATAACTCACGATCCCCTAAAATAGATTAAGTGTTTTTCAGAACACATTCTTTGTCACCCCACGACAAATTCGGCCTGTTCATTGCACAAATTGTATGTTTGCTTCAATCTGTTTGTATTTTGAACTGAACTTTGCCCGCTCTTATTTGTGGTAACGTACAACAAAATGTTTAATAGAGGTTGAAAATGAGAAATTATGAAATTGTTAAACTTGCCGATTTTTAGGGCATGATTAGCCAATTGGTTTGGTTATAAAAATAACAATGTAAAATGTATTCCTAACATGAATTTGAAGTGTTTCTGACACGTTAGATTTTCAAATGGACCTTGGCATAACATTCTCCGCATAAGGAACCAAACCTACAGGGCTCGTTCCGGTGGGGCAGCGGGGACTGATAGCTTAGCTGCACCGACAGGACCGAAGGACACGCAGCAACTCTTGTCAGCCAAGAGCTCCACTACTGTCACCGCAGCGGAGCCGCTGGCTGGTTGTAACGGCTTGGTTTTTACCGGACTCTATAAGCTTAAACAACAGGAGTCCGGTGGCGGTGATAAGCTGTTAGCTAGGAAGCTAACTGACACGCGCGTTCACAAGAGCCGCGGAGCGCGCGCGGCATTAACGAGCATCAGAAAGAAAGAATAAACTGCCAAAACAGTGCTGGAAAATACGTGTTTTCTTTTAGACACAGATTAACGCATATGTTTTCAATGTGCGAACTATTACAAACACCGTTTTATCAAATCGGAAATTGTTAAGACAACAATTTTCAGTTTACCTTTGAGACATTAAAAAATAAAAATAAAATAAATCGTGCGATAAAATAATGCTTTACATCACAGTTTCTAAATAAATGACTTTACACATATTTTAAATGCATTCGCCTGTAACTGTAATCAGTAATGAAATGTTTCTGCTCATCATTTAAGCAACTGGTGGAAAAAAAGACCTTTAGGATCGTTGGCGTTTAAATGATTTATAGTAGCTGATTCTGCTTCCTGTTCCAGGTTTTGCTCAGTAGTTCATTACATTTAGATAACATTTGCCTAATAGTTGATCACCATTAATGATAAAATAATGAACATGAGTTTTGCAGCTCTTTAGCTTGCTGTGATGTTTAACGAAGTAGCAGGAAGTTTGGCAGCTTTTACATGGTTCAACTTGAACATGCGCTGCACTTTAGTTTATATTTATTTGAACAAAGACAATACATTAAAGCAATGTGACAGTTGATGGATTTGCAAACTCAGGTTTTTGTTGGGCTTTTAAAGTAAAAAAAAAAACTTATAAAAAGATGTTGTTAATGAACTATTTGCAGAAGTGCCATCTTTGTTATGTTTTAGTAAAGAAGGCTGGTTTGTGGTCCATGTATATTATAAAACTGTTGACTTGATATTGTTTTTTACTTTTGCAGACACAATGGCAGGAGACGACCCCTTCCTCCATCCATCCAACCAGGTAAACTCACCTGCAGCTCATTCCATTACCATGATGATCTAGGGCAGTGGTTCCCAACCTTTTTCCCAAGGGAGCCCTTTTTTACCAGTAAAATTTTTGACGACCCCCTCCCATTCTCTCTTCCAGTACAAACAGTATTAAGAAATGATCAAATTGTTCAAGCACATTTGAATATGCTTTGATTCAATAGATAACAGTAATAGTAGGCTCCAGTACAGAACAAAGTCATTAACAAAACCAAACAGAGCATAATGTGCTTGACAGTTTGTATTACTTTTCTGAACACATTGTTTCTTGTAAACACTGATAAATCAATCATTCATTTCAATAAACGTTTGACACATAAAAAATACACTGAGCAAAATGTACTTAAATGTGTATATTACTGTTTGTACTAGATTATTTACTGTAAAGGCTGTGATTAATCAACCAGTCGTATCTTTAATGAACTTTTGACACTTGAAAATAAAACAGTGAGCTGAGCAAAATGTTCTTAAAAGTGTGTTACTTTTTCTGTACTAATTATTTCCTGTCTTAATATCAGTAAACTTTTCACTCATGAAAAAAATGTGAGCAAAATGTAGGCTATAAACAAGTAATAAATTAAGTTTTAACCCCTTAAAGTGGAGAGGTCCTGGTGACCCACTGAGAGGCTTTGGCGCCCCCTTGTGGGGGTCGGGACCCCCAGGTTAGGAACCACTGGGTTCACTCTCTGTTACACTCTACACTCTCTGTGATACAAATCCTCCACCTTCATCCTGAAAACTTCAACTTTCATCTCAACATAGTCTGCAAGGAAATCTGGCTTCATAGTCCAACCTTCAGATGTTTGTGCGAGACTCAGAACAAACAAAGCTGTGAATAAAACAGTTTTTTTATTTTAATGCTAAGAAGTAGCTTGTTGCTTCAGCATCGTTAATTGTGCTGGGTTATGGAGATATTTTATATATGAATGCTTCTGCTAAACGTCTTCCATCGGTTGAAACTTTGTGATTTCTTTTGTAACTTTACTTGTTGCTTGCTGCTGCCTTTCTTGGCCAGGTCTCCCTTGAAATAGATTTTTAATCTCAATGTTTTTCTTTCTGGTTAAATTGAGGTTAAAAAAAACAGAAGATGAAATTTAGAATTCAATCTTTTCAGTTGCTAATGTATATATGTCAGAAGAACAGATTCATATAAACTATTTACTGTAGATTAACTTGACCGTTAGCAGATCCAGCAGATTTAAAATTACAAATGTGTGTGTGTGAGTCTGTAAGTAAATTTTATTTATATAGCACTTATCACAGACATAGAATCACAAAGTGCTTCACATAGATCAAAACAAAATAAAACCGTCTTAAAATCATAATGATCTCAAAACAAATAGATCAACATAAGAAAAAATAGTCATAAAATTATAAAGTTTCATAAAATGATTAAAGATTAAAAATTTGAGTTAAAAATAAGAAAATAAAAGGTTTAGGTATAAGCTGCTTTAAATAAGTGTCTTCAACTGATTTTTAAAGGTGTCCAGACTGTCAATGCCCATTAGGACAGTGGGAGGGATAAGGATAAAGGAAGATCATTCCAAAGTCGGGGTGCAACAGTCTGGAAGGACCGGATCACCTCGACTTTTATATCTGGTTTTTGGAACTTATAGAACAGGGGTTTTAAACTCAAATTCACACTGGGCCGAAATGAAAATCTGGGACGAAGTCGCGGGCCAAGCTTAATATTTTTTGAAAAAGTGATGGCAAATTTTCATTTTCTTTATTGACATATATGCAATTTAAAACCTTTAAAATTGGAAACAAACATATTTTTGCATTAACACTGAATGTGGAATAACCAAATTACACACAAGCAAGTAAATTTTAAATAAAACGCAAGCAAATCAATTTTAAATAAAACACATCAGTGGTATTCATTACTTGTGGTATATTCAGCATTTTTAAAATCTATTCATGATTTATGTTTTCTTGTTTGTTCATTTTTCTTTTTTATTCTCCTTTTTTTCTCCTGTAATAAGTGTCCTCACTGCTGTGACATCGATAGCTTTCCCCACTGAGGAACGATAAAGGGATTTTCTATTCTTTTCATCTATCTGCAGCCAGAAAAAGAGCATAAAACCAACATATTTAAAGCTCAGTTTGCTCCACTGATTTACTGTGATGTGATGTTCCAGCCAGATACCTGCTTCATGGTGTTTAGGAGCTCTGAGCTGAGGAGGAGACTCCTGCTGTTTTGTTCATCTTCATCATAATAATGACAACATTAGATGACAGCAGGTGCTCACATAGGTTTGTCCTGATGAACATGTCTGAGCAGCTTGACCACGTTGTTGTGTGTTGGGGAGGAAAAATAAAAACTACAGCAGCCACAGAGTCATGCTGACTTCAGCGTGTCACTGCTCGCTGGAGTTATGTCGGCTCCTTCGGGAAGTTAGTTGGAAAACTTTCATTCATGAACACATTACTGAGCGGTTAAAATCCCGTTTCTGGGCTTCAACGTCTGCAAATAGCTGAGTAAACTCGACGCTGAATGAGAGGAGTGTTTAGTTTTTCCGAGACAGCGGAGCTGCAGACACCGGCAGCAGACGCTGGAAAAAAATTCAAGCGGACGCTTTGGCTCCACGCTAATGCCGCAAAGCATCATGGTAGTTGAAGTCTTTGCGGTAAAATCGGCCTGCGGGTCCGTTTTAATATATTTTTGATATTTATCTCGCGGGCCACATAAAAATGCTCCGCGGGCCTTGTGTCTGACACGTGTTCTAGAAGGTTCTGGTGGGTGGACATGAGGAGTCGTGTTGGAGCATAAGGCTTTAACAGTTCAGTAATATAGGGAGTAGCTTGACTGTGTAGTGCATTAAAGGTTATAGTCCGTATTCTAAAATGAACTCTAAAGTTAACGGGTAACCATTGGAGAGACATTAGAATAGGAGTGATGTGTGCTCTTCTGTTTGCTCCAGTTAGGAGCCTCGCTGCAGAGTTCTGGACCAACTGAAGGCGGTCAATGGCTTTTTTGTTAAAACATGTGAAAAGTGTGTTACAGTAATCCAGACGGGAGGAGATTAAGGCATGGATGACCATTTCAAGTTCATGTTTTGACACCAACCTTCGCACTTGGAGATATTTTTTAAGTGATAAAAGCAGTTTCGGACCAATGTCTGCTGCATCTCTGGTTAAAATCTGCTTGATCTTCATGGTAGAGTTACTAGAGATTGTACAAAAGTAAAAGTAGTGGTATTTTATATATAAAATATATATATATATATATAGCAACTTGAGGTTGTAGAGTAGCTACAGACTATACTCAAGTAAGAGTAGGAATACTATTATTGCTCAGGTAAAAGCACTCCATTCAAAATGTTACTTAAATAAAAGTTACTGAGTAAATGTAACAAGTTACTACCCACTTCTGGACTGGAATTGAAATGAACATTTCTGATCTACCAGAACATTTACAGTCTGTTTTACTGGTAAATAGTTCCACAGAGATGGTGCTAAGGTGGTGAGTGATCCCAGTTGGGTTCTGTTCTGTTGTTGCTGGATATTCATCCTAAGTTTGATGGTAGTCTGCTGCACCATGTTGGAAAAACTTCAGAATTACTTTGGCTTCAGGTCCTCAGTGGTAAATACCTTACCTGTTACAAAGAACTTGTGTCTTGAGGGGTTCCACAGGGGTCTGGATTGGGACCACCACTATGTTTTTTGTAGGGTCGATTCTTTGATATTTTAGGGTTTTCTTCCATTTTATGCGGGTGATTTACAGCTGTGTATGCTTCTAGTACTAACCCTAACCCAAAACAATTAATACAAAACACAAAAAACAACTGAACTTAAAAAGCATCAGGGCATTTAAAAAAAGTTACACAAAATAATAATTATTGTTATGCTTCTAGTTATTCATAACTTCCTGGGTTTCAGATATTTGACAACGTGATGATGATGGATCCATCCTGGGAGTTCCCACCCTTTTCTGCAATACCTCAGATGGCGTCTCTACGGACAGGTGAGTTTCTCCAGTCTTACACCTTCACCCTGTTTTAGGCCTTCCCAGACTCTGATTTCTGGGGCAGGAGATGGTCCATCGTGGTTTTGTAGGTTTTATTTGAGATATTTTGTTGTTGGGTTTGTTGTCTGTACATTTAGCAGCATAAGGCTGGGGACACACCGGCTGCCGAAGCGCCGTGAAACGGGGACCGTCTTCATTCGGCGCCCTTGTTATCCTATTATATAGACCACATGGGCCGCTGAAGCGCCGTGCGCCGCCGCTCCAGCACGCACCGTGCAGCGACCATTTTGGCGTCTGCTCTATTTTTTTTCGCGAGCCACTGGTGAACCACGTCAATTCTGGCAGGAAGTCAAACCTAGACATAAGAGGCAGCCGGTAAATTTAACAAAATAAAGCATTTCAAAATACAATTCCGCGATAGTCAAATGTGTTCGTAAACAGACACTGCATTAAAATAACACACACAGCAAACTTTGTGTGTGTGTGTGTGTGTGTGTGTGTGTGTGTGTGTGTGTGTGTGTGTGTGTGTGTGTGTGTGTGTGTGTGTGTGTGTGTGTGTGTGTGTGTGTGTGTGTGTGTGTGTGTGTGTGTGTGGGTGGGGGTGGGTGGGGGTGGGTGGGTGGGGGTGGGTGGGGGTGGGTGTGTGTGTGTGTGTGTGTGTGTGTGTGTGTGTGTGTGTGTGTGACCACGTGAAGGGGTGTGGTTTTGGGTGTCTTTCAACCGGAGCAAACAGGACAGAGAGGCAGAAAGTCGTAGGCCAGCTATTAACAACTGGTTCACACCATAGGTTCACACACACAGCAAGGGGGAGGGGGTGTAGAAAAAAAGAGCAGAGAAAAGGCAGAGAGGAAATGAAGAACACCAAGTGGTTAAAAGAAAAACTACGAGGCGCGCCTCGAGCGGAGAAACAAGCGTCTGGTCTGAACTGAGGAGCAGCGAGCAGCAGCCAAATTTCGTGAGCGCTTCGCGGCCGGTGTGTCCCTGGCGTAATTCTCCTTTATATTTATTCTATAGACCTTTTTAAAGGTTTAATATAGAACAATTAAATCTAAAGCTATATTTATATTTTTAAAACAATACCTCCACACAGCGTTTAGTGGTGTGCAGAATGAAGGTACAGTATTTACTTTAAAAGCTATATTTTAATTAAAAAAAGGCAAATATTTATTTTGACTGATACAACACTTGGTTTATGTTTACACCTACCAGCCAATAGAGGGCACCATTGTGGGTTGCCGCTTGTCATGGTGAGGCTGGCACTGTGGAAGACGGCAGACTCGGCAAGTCAAGCAGCTCCCTCTGAGCCCAGAAGATGTCATTATCCTTTGCCAAAGAGGAGCAACTGTAAAAGATCTAAAACCAGAGTGTTTAGGTGAAGCCTACAACAGGTGGACCCAAATAAAAAATTCACGCATTTGCAGCAAATCTGGTGTCCCAGCGGCTGGAAATCTTGTTCTGTTGTTGCAACAACAACCTCCACACACTAGATGTCGCTTCGGTGTTCATGTTCCATATTTCACGATCAAATTTTCAGACGTTGAAACCATGAGCTAAGAAGCTACTCTTTTCTTAAAGGAGAAGGTTTAAACACATCCACCTGCTTTGTAGTTGTCTCACCTGAGCCTCAATCCACAGGTTGTTTCTGACCTGTCCCCCTCCCCTTCAGATGTTTGGGCCTGAACCCATGCAGGTAGTGTGTTGTTATGCTGGCTGAGCACCACTTTGGGTTTTTGTAAATAAAAAACACTTTTCTGGGTTTTTCCTATCAAACTGAAAATCTCTGAAACATTTCAGTCTGCTGGGTCTGATTACACGATTGTGTTTTATAGAAACTCAGAGGAACATTTGACTGTTTTCTGAGATTTAGTTGCATCATCTCATTAGGTGTAAATGTTTGCATGGCTGAAGCTCGGGGAAACTCGGCATCATTCATAATTCTTTGTAGCAAACATGCTTCTCATAAAACTGCTGTGTGAAATGAGAATATTTCATTAAAAATGGATGTAAACAAACAATTACATGATAAACTTGTTTTAATAAGCTGAATGAGGTTTGCTCCATTGAACTAATTTGCTTTGGCTAGTTTTAGTTTGCTTAGATGGAAATTATTTTTGCATGAAAAAGTCGAAACATCCTAATAAATGATACATTATTATTAATAAATACAAATCTGTGCTTAATCTGTTTTAGATCATGTTTAAAGATTAAAATAAAAAGCTGAAATTTCATTGACAGAAATAAGTCGTTAGATGATAATACATTAGGACACTTTATGATGTAATATCTGCTGTTTCAGCACTTTGGCTGACCCTAAACCCTGAAGCACCTACCAGAATCTTCTCCTGCTCCTCATTTGTTGGTTTGTTTGTAAACCACATCAGCTGGATTCTAATCTGACTTTAATGTGATATTCAAAAGCAGAACTCACCATTCCTCCTGGTTCTACTGGACCCTCTTAGGTCATTGTCATTTCACGTGTTTGCCTCATTTTCAGCTTGAGTTCTTCTCAGAAGTCCTCTTGTTCTTTCTGATGGTTATGCGCATCAGAACCGGCTGTAGACCCAGACCATGACCTTTGCTTCTCTGTGCATCACAGCTGGTTTGAGTCTATTCTTTGAAGCCAGCTGGAGCGGGAGTGACCCGTTCGTTCCCTGATGAGTTCTGGGGTTAAGGATTTCTGACCTCAGCTGTTATAGATGTTCTTCACTTCTTGTCCAACTTCAGATCTACCAGAAAATGATTCCGTGGTCTCAAAGATTTTCTCATGTTTCCTCCATCCAGCATCACCAAATTAAAAGTCCTAAATAACAGATTCTCATGAAAAATTCTCTGAAGTCGTTCAGCGTTTTGAAATTCTTGAGAATTTAGAAATAAACAAAAACATCTTCCACATCAGCCCTGGTAAATAAGACTTGTTTTCTGTATGCCCTTAAATGGTTTTGTTTTGTTACTTTAATCTTTAATAATTTATAAATAATATTCTATAATTCTATGAGAGTTATTGAAAAGAATCCTGTTTTTTTCTGTCAGTAATGGTTTAATTTAAGCTAGGAAGATTCTTAGTTTTGAAAGTGTTTTTAATGATGATGGATTTCTCCTCCATAAATGATGCTGGTTATTGAATCAGACTCATTTGTTTAAACGGTTTCTGTTTGTGTGAGCCACAGGGGACGTTAACATTACATCACTGACTATTACTCATTCACTTTTTTCTTTCCTGTAATTATGCAAATGTAAAAATCCCTGAACAGCAGAAACTCACTGCAATTCATCATGATGTTAGTTTATCAACAAATGTTTTTCTTTTTTAAGTAATGATTTGATTCAATGAAAATATTAATCTAACAAATAGAAATATAAACAATGTTGTTTATATTTATACTTTTAAATATTTTTGACTCAATCTTTGTAAAATGTTTAAGTTGTAATCCAATCATTTTTTAATTAGTTGTTCCTTGGATGACTTAGCCCTTTGTGACAGGACGAACACACACTTTGTCCGCCTATCCAGATGTGCTTCACAGCTGCAGAGAGGAACATGAGAAAGTTTGGTTTTGGGAAACTGAAACGATCGTGAGGGAGGTAAAGCGAAAGAGGAGTTTCATGATGTGTCCTGTGTGAAGAGACGGGGACGAGACACTCTGCTCTCGCTTCCTGTTTTGTTACATCAGTTAGAATCTGAGAAGGAACAGCAGCTTCGGGTGGTGTCTCTGTGTCGGCTTCACTTCCGCCATCAGTGAGAGCAGTGGAGCAGGATGCTGCATGTTCACACACACACACACACACACACACACACACACACACACACACACACACACACACACACACACACACACACACACACACACACACACACACACACACACACACACACACACACACACACACACACACACACACACACACACACACACACACACACACACACACACACACACACACACACACACACACACACCTTACCAAAGCCGAAAGCTAAGCCCGGTAGCCATGTTTAGAACCTGTGAGTGAGGCCGTTCCTGGTCCAAACAAGCCGCTGTTCTGGTAACGTGCTGCTGCTCTCACAGTCAGATCTCCAGGCTAGTTCTGGTTCATTTCCAGGACAAAGGAACTTCCTGAAGCAGCAGGGTCGGAGGTTCTCTTTAGTTCTGTTTGTGCTTCTGGGTTGCAGACTGGTTCCGAGGAAGGTTTCATTTGGACTGTAGCTGATTTATTACTCAGTTCCAGTCCTGGTACCAGAACATCTTCTGACATTTGAATCAGTCTGGCATAAAAGGCTCTTAACTCATGAGGAATGACACAGGACCCGTTGTAACTGGATGTTTAGGTTTTCTGGTACCAGCTTGTCCCAGAGGGTTAGGGTTAGTGTTAGGGTTGACCCAGAACCACTTTAACAAGTAGTTTGAAAAGAAAGAAAAAGGGACAGATGAGGACGGGAACTGGAGTTTGGTAGATGATCAGGAGTTCTGAGAAGGTTCAGAGGTTCTGGAGGAACCAGCTCAGTGATTGTCATTGAAAGATCTAGAAGCTGTCAGCTCCGACCCGGGTGTTCCAGATGTGCTTCCTGTTGGCGTGTCAGTCAGACTCTGATGTCAGCAGGTTTAGCTTAAGTTGGAGCTGCTGAGGAAGTTTCCTTGAAGCTGGCAGCTTCATGTGGCCACGCTGTGGTTTGATGTGTGTTTAAAAATGTTTATTTGCTCTGGCTGAAATAGAAGCACAAAAAAGAGCCGACCTCTTTCCTACATTTAGTTTCAAATGATCATCATTTAGAACCTTCTTGGCCAAGTCTTAACATGCATGTTTGTTTGTTCCAGTTGATGGGCCGTTCCTGCAGATCCTGGAGCAGCCGAAACAGGTACAACTCTCCCGTTGGTGGATCAAACTGTCAGATTCCATCATTGAATGTTGTTTACTCTTTAAACAGGCCTGTCAATGTGTAGCTGTTTTTGTTATATAACAAAAATTATGCTGCTACTATCTAGGTACTTTGATGACTTGATTATTATTATTATTCTGAGCTACTACAGCAGTCAATTTCCCTCTGGGATTAATAAAGTATTTTTGAATTGAATTGAATTGAATTGAATACTCACCTTTTCATCCAGGCTTTCCCCCGCTAAATATTCTAAAAGATGGCTTTGTTCTTGTTCACACCTTGACTTTGTTTTTACTCCTGATTTTGGTTACTATTGTTGTCACTGCCATTGTTTTTATGATGTATTTATTGGTTTGAGGTATTTGCCCAGATTTTACTCATGTTGTACAGCGCTTTGTGATTTATATCTGTGAAAGGCGCTATATAAATAAACTTTACTTACTTACCACTTACTTACTAGGTAAGGGATGAGACAAAGAGCAGTCCAAAGACCTCTTATGATGAATAATATAAATGGAAACCGTGTTCCCTCGCCCGGACGTGGGTCACTGGGGCCCCCCTCTGGAGCCAGGCCTGGAGGTGGGGCATGTTGGCGTGTGCCTGGTGGCCGGGCTTTCACCCAAAGAGCCCGGCCGGGCACAGCCCGAAGAGGAAACATGGGTCCCCCTTCCCATGGGCTCACCACTCGTGGGAGGGGCCAAAGGGGTTCGGGTGGAGTTGTGACGGGTGGTAGTCGAGGGCGGGGACCTTGGCAGTCTGATCCTCGGCTACAGAAGCTGGCTCTTGGCACATGGAATATCACCTCTCTGGTGGGGAAGGAGGCTGAGTTGGTGTGTGAGGTTGAGAGGTTCCAATTAGATATAGTCAGACTCACCTCAATGCATGGCTCTGGCTCTGGAAACAGTTTCCGTGAGAGGGGTTGGACACTCTACCACTCTGGAGTTGCTCCCACTAAGAGGCGCAGAGCAGGGGTGGGCATACTAGTTGCTCCCTATCTTGGTGCCTGTACATTGGGGTTTACCCCGGTGAACGAGAGGGTAGTCTCCCTTCACCTACATGTGGGGGGAAGGGTTCTGACTGTGGTCTGTGCTTAATGCACCAAACTACAGTTCAGACTACCCACCCTTTTTGGAGACCTTGGAGGGGGTGCTGGAGAGCACTCCTTCCAGTGACACCCTCGTTTTGCTGGGGGACTTTAACGCTCGCGTGGGCAACGACAGTGACACCTGAAGAGGTGTTGTTGGGAGGAACAGCCTCCCTGATCTGAATTGGAGCGGTGTTTGTGATTTGTAGATCTGCTCCTACTGGGGGTGATCCAAACATGCAGTAAACGTATCTCATTTATGTCACTCATAAATGTCTACCATGATAACTCCCTCCCTTACTCTGTCTCTCTGTGTTTTAGCGCGGCTTCAGATTCCGGTACGGGTGTGAAGGTCCATCCCACGGCGGCCTTCCAGGAGCCTCCAGTGAGAAGAACAGGAAGACCTACCCCGCAGTGAAGGTAACACTTCCTGTGTGCTGCTGATGACTTATATAAATAAAGCTTATAAATAAAGCTTTGATTGATTGATTGATTGACTTGTGTCAGGAATACGGATCTGGTTTAACACAATCTCATTTGGATGTAAGAAAGAGTTAGAGTTAATGTTTCACAGCAGACATAAGAAACTTCCAGTTACATGTTTACCTGGAATCATCAGATTGCAGCAATCAGATCTTTAACTGTGATCTGTTTCACTATGAAGAGGTTAAAGTGGCATGACACATAAATAATTCTAACAACGAAAAACACTTTTCAATCATAAAATCACGTGTTATGGTTTGTCTTTATTTTATGATCTGTATTGCTGTTCATCATGAATACGTTTGATCAGAGACAGTGAGAAGTGACGCTGATAATAACATGGCTGCTCTCTAGGATTTCTGACCAGTAGGTGAGAGGTATTCCAACAGGTGAAACAGAATCATGCAATGACCCAGAGTCTGTGGGAGAACGGAGACATTTTCACCTTACATACTTTACTTACAGTCATCAGTGTGTTTTCCTCTTGCTAAAATATAAGAATATGGAACCAAACCTACTGGTTAGACGTGCTGCATCAAGGGAGCGACCATGTTGTTATCAGTGTTGGTTCCTCTCTTGACTGATCAGCAAAGGTGGACAAATACAAGAACAGAAACAGACTGGGGAGTAAATATTTAAATCATTAAATATATATATTCGTGTGTGTGTGTGTGTGTGTGAGAGAGAGAGAGAGAGAGAAACATGTAACACATTATTTCAAAATTTTATTAATATTTGATCAATTAAAAAAAGTATTTGATATTTCTTCCCTTTTGGCCCTCGATAACATCAATTTTCTAATCAAATGAAACTATAAGTGGTTTCTTGGGTCAAAAGGAAGGTTTTATAGATGATTTGGGGCTTTTAGCTAAAGGCATTAATTCTGGCAGTTGGACAGCTGATTGAGGGGATAGCTAAGATTTAGATTGACGATATAAATCCAACTGAAATGCGTTCTGAATCCAACTCCTCTCTGAGAACCACTGTGGTTCTGGAGAAGATCAGCGTTGTGTCTCTGTGTTGTTCTGAGAGGTTCATCACAAGCTCTTAGGTTTTTACATATCTGCTGCCTCTCTTGAGACTGACTCGGTCTACATTCTGTTGGTTTAGACGTTTACTTGAAGTCTGAAGCTTCCACATTTCTGACCAAAATCTTGAAAACATGGGAAATCCCCACATTCCCACTGCTGCCTCTTCATTTTGCACGCTCAGCTGCACTTTGCTGTAAAATCACATGTGAAGATGATTAATTTGTTCCAGATTCACACGTTCCAACAATGGCCTTTACACTGGCTGCTAATCTGCTCAGTTTAGCTTCTGACCTGGTGTCATTTTATTTTCTCTGTAGGATCGTTATTAGAACATCTACAGTTCAAAAACCTTTTAAATTGAGTGTTTCTTTCTTTTCTTTTGAGCTGGAAGCTCCTGAGGGATGATGGTGAAACCAAATATTTGTAATGTGGTGTAACGTCATGTCGTGCTTAGGTGGAAGTTTTCCGTCACGGATGAGATGGAGTCTCAGGAACACAGCAGGAAGTCTGGTTCTGTAGGGTTGGTACAGGTAGATGCATGCATGCTACTGAAGGTGTTCGTATGCTAAGGGTGCAGAGTGGGAAAACCCCTGTAGTACGTCATAGTCATGGTGTCACAGCAGTAGAGGGATGATTATGGTTCTGACTCATTTTTTAAACCAGAAAGACCAATCTACCACATCACTGATTTATATCTTGAAATAGCAGCATGTTCAGGGATTTCATGCTTTCTGAAGCAAGAAAATATTTAGAACCTTTAAAGGGGTCCTAGAATTTCATTTTTACATTTGTAGTTCTACACGTCTTTTCACTTTAAACCCAAAATAACTTGTTAACATGGTTATCGACCTGAAAAGGGTGGCTTGCAACAAACGATTATTTGGATCATTGATTAATCGGATGGGGTCTCAACTCAATTAATCGGATTAAACGGGAACATTTAAAAACTGCTACGGAAACATTTTTTCTCTCCTTCCTTTACTTTATTAAACAACAAAACAGGATTAGAAAAGTTTCATAATGTGAAAAACAACATGCTATCACCTAAATATATCCATAATTAAACTTTGATCAGTAAAATTTTATGTATTTCATTAACATGTTCAGTAGTAAGCTACTGGAAATGCTAATAACATTTAATTTCTATTGCAAAAACTAATGGTGACATATATATATATATATATATATATATATATATATATATATATTATGTACGGGTTAGCAATAATCCAGTTTAAATTATGTTCACAGATAGACGCATTTGTAAATTACGTGCTACTGTAGCGTTAAGGATTTATTAAATGATCAATAAGATGTGATGTTCCATATAAATATGAAATGTCAATCTGATTGGTCTTCAACTATTTAATTTAGTATTCCTTTAGATTCTTATTAGGGCTGGGCGATATGGCCTAAAATCATTATCACAATATATTGAGGATTTCACCTCGATAATGATAAATGGACAAAAGTTGTCCACTATATGGGGCTGTCGCATGAATCGCGTTGAGTCACATTTTTTCGTGACTCGAGGTGGTACAGCTTCTTAAAGGGACATGAACGCTGCCAACATACACATCTTTTCATTTTTTTTACTATCAGATTTATTGACATGGGAAAAATTATCACGATAAGAGTCAGAAATTTCGGTAATGATAGATTTTCAATTTATTGCCCAGCCCTAGTTCTTAGACTTATTCAGGGAACAAGAATATAGTAATAAAAATGATTTTAATTCTATTTTTCTAAACTAAATGACTACACATGACAAAGTATGGATGAAGTGATGGTTATATAGTCTCGTCTTCTGCATGAGACCTTGAGCAAAGATATTACGGCTCCCTTGTTTGTTAACAAGGTCTTGCGCAGTGCTTTCGTGTTTGGAGGCCAGACAGATGGGGTGTTTGTGTCTGCAAATTATTTATTTATTTTAAATATATTTATTTATTTTATTTTCACATCAATAACAAACATAAACAACAACATAAACCTTTGGCTCCCTTTCCTCACATGTATACAAGTTCAGAATTCAGATTCAGGTGTCCGTTCACACAACGGTGTTCCTTCACCAAAGCTCTTGCAAAGAATGCAGAGACATCCAGTCCAACGTGCAGCAGAAAATGTTTCCACATCCTGGCGAAGCTTCATCCCTGCAGTGCAGTCAACATGTTAGACAGTCAAGAGAGGCATAATTGAGCACCACCCTCTGCCACTGTGCCTTGGAGGGGATCTTATCGGCTAGCCAGCCCATGGTGCGTCAGTAAGCAACTTACTGTTCTAAGTGTGTGTCGTTCCTCATCGAAATACCGGCTTTCTCTCATTCTGATCTGCTTTGGTCTGTTCAGTTGCTGCCTACACATGAGCTGCGCTGACAATGCATTTCTTCATCGATTTTATCGATTTGTCGTTGCAGCCCTACTTGCCAACTCCAGGGAGGGAAGAGGGCTCCTGCTTCAAGTGGAGAAGTTTAAGGGTGTTTCTCAATGCGCTTTGCCTTGCGAGGTGATGTCTTGCGAGGTTAGGCACCTTGCTTACAAGGACCTTGGTCAAAGAAAACGGTTAAATGGAACAGACTTGCATCATGTGACCGCGGCTTCCATGGCGGTCACGTTACGTCACGTGACACGGGAGATGATGTTATATTTTATATGTGTAAGTTTCAATATAAATATAAAATGAGCCTTTTACTTTTTAAATTGTGTATACGTTTATTAAATAAAAAATATAAGCGAGTTACTACCCGCTAGCCACCAAAGCTGCAACTACTAAGCAACTAACCAACAACAGATAACTTCTTTGGATCTAAGAAAAACATTTAAAATTAGCTGACTTACTTTTATACTTTAAAATTGTCCCCGAAGTAGCTGCCGGTTTCTGATCCGCTGTCTTTTTGAAAATACCGCGGTGTATGTGTATTGTGGGTAATTTTTGATCAAGGCTAGGCTACAAGACACCTCCCTTGTGTTCTTGCTCAGCTAGCTAACAGCTAACAAACGGAGAACACACGCCTCGGTAGAACATAAACAGTGGAAGCAATTGGAGCACGTCTTGGCGGCTCCTGATGACGTATCTCCTAGGCAAACGGGCGGGGTCAAGACATCAGGGCAAGGTTCCTTGACATTGACAAACACCCTAAGTATCTTTGAGTCTTGTTCATGAGGGAGGGAAGAAGAGAGCAGGAGATCAACAGGCAGATTGGGGCAGTGTCTGCAGTGTTAAGGACGCTGAACCGGTCTGTCGTGGTAAAGAAGGAGCTGAGCCAGAAAGTAAAGCTCTCGATTTACCGGTCAATCTACGCCCAACCCTCACCTATGGTCTTGACCTTTGGGTAATGACCGACGATCGCAAATACAAGCGGCAGAAATTAGTTTCCTTCAGAGGATAGTCAGGCTCAGCTGTAGAGATAGGGTGAGGAGCTCGGACATTCAGGAGGAACTTGGGAGTAGAACCACTGCTCTTCTACATTGAGAGGAGCTAGCTAAGGTGGTTCGGGCATCTTATGTTTATGTTTATTCATTTAGGAGACGCTTTTATCCAAAGCGACTTACAATTTATAACCTATAGGGCATGTTGTGATCTGATCTTGTCAGGATGCTGCTTAGATGGCTTCATGGGGTGGTGTTTCGGGCATCTCCAGCCAGCAGGAGGCCCCCGGGTCAACCCAAGACACATTGGAACATGTACATCTCCAATCTGGCCCGGGAACACTTTGGGGTCCTGCAAGAAGAGATGGCCCAAGTGGATGGGCAGAGGGAAGTCTGGGCCTCTCGACTTAGACTGTTGCCCCTGTGACCCGACTCTGGACAAGTGGAAGAAAATGGATGGATTTTTTTAAAGGAACGGAGCTGTTTGAACATTAAGTATTCATCCATCAGTGAGACTTTGTTCCTTTTTCTTTGTTTTGAA